ACCCACCCCCATCTCTACACAAAAAATAAAGGAAATTAGCAGGGCATGATGGCACATGCCTATAGTTCTAGCTACTCGGGAGGCTGAGGCAGGGGGATTGTTAGAGCCCGGGAGACCGGCTGCATTGAACTATGATCATGTTACTGCACTCTAGCCTGAGTAACACAGCAAGACCCTGTCTTGAAAATAAAGTTAGATTAAAAAATAAATACATAAAGATATAAAAAGAAGGTAAATTCCAAGGCAGAGTCCAGACATCTGTCAGGCATTCTGGTATCTGGAATGCCATCATAAAAGTTCTTTTTTTTTTTTTTTTGAGATGGAGTCTGGCTTTGTCGCCCAGGCTGGAGTGATCTCACTACAACCTCTGCCTCCAGGGTTCAAGTGATTCTCCTGCCTCAGCCTCCCAAATAGCTGGGACTACAGGCATGCACCACCATACCTGGTTAAATTTTTTATTTTTAGTAGAGATGGGGTTTCACCATGTTGGCCAGGCTGGTCTTGAGCTGACCTCAAGCAATCCACCTGCCTCAGCCTCCCAAAGTACTAAGATTACAGGTGTGAGCCACTGCGCCTAGCCATTTATTTTTTTATTTTTTTTAATTTTTGAGATGGAGTCTCACTCTGTTGCCAGGCTGGAATGCAGGTGGCATGATCTTGGCTCACTGCAGCCTCCACCTCCCAGGTTCAAGTGATTTTCCTGCCTCAGCCTCCCGAGTAGCTGGGACAACAGGTATGCACCACCACACCCAGCTAATTTTTTCTACTTTTAGTAGAGATGGGGTTTCACCATGTTAGCCAGGATGGTTTTGATCTCCTGACCTCGTAATCCTCCCACCTCAGCCTCCCAAAGTGCTGGGATTACAGAAGCGAGCCACCGTGCCCAGTCTTTTCTTGTTTTGTTTTTTGAGACAGAGTCTTGCTCTGTTGCCCAGTCTGGAGCGATCTCGGCTCACTGCAACCTCCGCCTCCCAAGTTTAAGTGATTCTCCTGCCTCAGCCTTCCAAGTAGCTGGGATTACAGGCACCCACCACCATGCCCGGCTAATTTTTATATTTTTAGTAGAGGTGGGGTTTCACCATGTTGGCTAGGCTGGTCTTGAACTCCTGACCTCAGATGATCTGCCCATGTTGGCCAGATCACACGTTGGGTTTTCCTGGATGTGAGGACAAAGAATGGGACAGCAAGGCCAACCCCATTGGCTTCTCAAAGTGCTCAGTGGTTCAGGTATTGAGCTTGGAGGAGGGGAGGCAAGAAGTGCTAGGCATGTGATCCCCAAGCCGTTTACAGCTTAAACACACATTGCAACAGCCATGTTTGTGGTGGTAACAGGGCCCTTTGCTCATTTGTTTTCCCCATAATACACGTCCTTTTGGCATCCCACATCTCCCGGAGGGAAAATTGCCCCAGGACACCCGGCCATGAGCAGGGTGTCTGGGGACCCAGGTCCTCTCCGCCAAGACCAGCAGAACAGGGTCTCTTTCAGCTGTGGGAAGATGGCACAAGCCACCTGTGAAACGGTGGGCTCACCTACCTAACAGAGGCTGGTGACCACCCAGTGGGCACATTCTCCAGGGGATTCCTGCCTCAGGGTCAGGCTGCTGAAGCCCCTTCCAGCTTTGAGTTCTGTGAGTCAACAACAGAGCAGTCATCAAGATCTTACTGTGAGCTGGGAACAGAGAAGTGGCCCCCTCTTCAAAGGAGCGTCTACGGCATGCTAAACAAGGCTTCCTGTGTGTGACCTCACCTAATGTCACCTCATTCCAGTGAGAAATGTCCTCATCTCATCTGAGAGGAAACCAGCAGGTGCCAAGCCTGCTGGGCCTGGAGCAGAGGGTGACTGACAGAGAACCCCACAACCTCATCCTTTCCTGTAGTGTTTGTATAGCACAGATTTTATTTTCTTCTATTTTTGAGACAGGGTCTCACTCTGTCACCTAGACTGGAGTGCAGTGATGTGATATTGGCTCTTTGCAGCCTCAACTTTCCCAGGCTCAGGGGATCCTCCCATCTCAGCCTCCTGAGTAGCTGGGCTTACAGGCATGTGCCACCACACCCGACTAATTTTTATATATTTTTTTTTTGGTAGAGCTGGGGTTTCACCATGTTGCCCAGGCTGGTCTCAAACCCCTGGGCTCAAGCGATCCTCCCTCCTGGGCCTCCCCAAATCCTAACATTATAGGTGTGAGCCACCTCAGGTTTGGTGATTTTATTGCAGATTTTAACCTTAAGGGTTATAAGGAAACTTTTCTGAATGGCAGTTTCCATATCTATAGTCCAAGGGTTATAAGGTCTTCAGAGGTGGCCATCAAGCACCAGGTTCTGCCATCTGACAGCTGCGGTGAGAGGCTTCAGGAGAGTCAAAGTACCTGGTATCCTCACCTCTTTGGGCTGTTGGGGGCAGAGCTGGGGCCAGAGGGATGACAAGGTCTTGTTTGTGTATGTTTGTGGCATTTGAGTTTCTGATGTGTCATAATCACTGCCAGGCCTTCTCAGCTGGAACCAGAGTGGGCACAGGGCCAGGCTTGCTGTCCTCTGGGCAGATATAAGAGCTAGGGAGGAAAGCCTGGAGCCAAGACCGGGGCGGAAGGGCCAGTCACCTGCCCAGGGACCAGGGATCAAAGCCACAGCTGCCGCAGACAGACCACCAGGTGAGCAGGGTCAGTACCAGGTGTAGCCCTCTCTCTGGGGATCAGGAGATACACTAAGGGCACAGTGAGTACATCCTTCATGGCTCCCTCCTTTCCTTTCTCCCTCTGAGCTCCCTGCAATTGACCAAGTGACTGCCTGTCCCAGAGACAACCAGGTGGAGGCTGAGGGGCCACTTGTCAGGGATTCCAGCCCTAGACTCTCAAAGACTCAGTGTGGGGGGATTGTAGTAAGTACTGCCACTCACCCAGCACCCACAAACAACACAAGGTACTGTGGGGTTATCTCACCAAACTGAGGTCAGGAGGTTGGATGCCTGGCTTAGCACTCTAGCTCTCTAGGCATTATCTTCATTTACTCTTATAGCAGCCCTGATGTAGATGTAGATATTAATATTTACAAGTGAAGTGACTGAAGAACAGAGATGTTAAGTAATTTGCCCAAAGCCACACAGCTAGGTCAGTGCCAAGACCAGGATACAAACTCCCTGACTCCAGAGCTTTTCCTCTTAACCACCGTACTACAGGGTCATGTGACTGATGAGACTCTTCCCTCTTCTGAATGGCAGTTTCCTTATCTATAATCTGAGGATTATAAGGTTTGATGACCAGAAAGATATGACCTTGAGCTTCCCTAAAAGTCCTTGGACATGGGTCAACTTTAAGCACCTGGAAAACCTGGTTGGAAACACTTAACCTGGTGTATGGCCTTTGACCCAGCATTCAACTTTTGAAAGTTATCATAAAGGATACAATCAGAGTTATAAACAACGTTCATTGCCGTTTTGCTAATAGAGAAAATTAGAAGTAAACAAAATGTCCAACAGCAGGGGGAATAAATTACCAACGTCCTGAGATGAGATAATATGCGGCCACTGGAGTAATCACGCACCAAGGGTGTAGGATGCCTTGGAGAATTCTCGATTGTCATTAGTAAAAAACTGCGTGGTCAGCCAGGCACCATGACTCTCGCCTGTAATCCCAGTACTTTGGGAGGCCAAGAAGGGCGGATTATCTGAGGTCAGGACTTCGAGACCAGCCTGACCAACGTGGTAAAACCCTGTCTCTACTAAAAATACAAAAATTAGCCAGGCGTGTTGGGGCGCACCTCTAATCCCAGCTATTTGGGAAGCTGAGACAGGAGAATCTCTTAAACCCAGGAGGCAGAAGTTGCAGTGAGCCAAGATTACGCTACTGCACTCCAGCCTGGGTGACAGCAAGATTCTGTCTCAAAAAACAAAAAAACAAAAAGCTGCGTGGTCAGTATGGTATGAACATATAGTGTGACCCCCTTTACAAACGTGTATTCATGTGTCTACGTGAAATAAATATAAGACTGGGAAATACACTTTGGGGGGATGAGAATGCATATGTGAGCGATGGAATTGTGAATGTTTTTATATTCTTATTCTTTACCAGTTTCTCAAATTTTCTACAATATCTAAGTATCACTTATTTACTTATTTTTTTATTTTTTTGAGACAGGGTCTCATTCTTTTGCCCAGACTGGAGTGCAGTGGTGCGATCTTGATTCACCACAACCTCTGCCTCCCAGGCTCAAGTGATTCTCCTGCCTCAGCCTCCTCAGTAGCTGGGATTACAGGTGCACACCACTACTGCCTGGCTAATTTTTGTATTTTTAGTAGAGATGAGTTTCACCATGTTGGCCAGGCTGGTCTCAAACTCCTGATCTCAGGTGATCCAACCACCTGGGCCTCCCAAAGTGCTGGGATAACAGGTGTGAACCACTGCGCCCAGCCAAATATCACTTTTTAATTAGGAAAAAAAGCTTTTAAAATAATCTTTTCTTTTGTTTTTTTGAGACAGGGTCTCACTCTGTTGCCCAGGCTGGAGTGCAGTGGTGAATCTCGGCTCACTGCAATCGCCTCCTCTCAGGCTCAGGTGATCCTCCTATGTCAGTCTCCCAAGTAGCTGGACTAGAGGTGCATGACACCATGACCAGCTAATTTTTGTATTTTTTGTAGAGACAGGGTTTCACCATATTGCCCAGGCTGGTCTCAAATTCCTGGACTTGAGTGATCTGCCTGCCTCGGCCTCCCAAAGTGCTGGGATTACCAGCGTGAGCCACGCACCTAGCCATATCTGTTCTTTTGCTCTAGGCATGCCCCCTTCTAGCTTCTATTCTAATGCACTCATCAGTTTGGAGAGGGAAGTGAATTGCAGACTGTCAGTCCTTCGAAAGCTTTGAGATTATCTGGTTCAACATGTTACATGTTATGCATGGGGAAACTGAGGCTCGGGGTACAAATGGGCTTATCCAAGGTAATACGGGGAACTAGAGGCTCCAGCCTGGGCCTTAGGCATCTGCCCTGTGGGCCACAGCCCCCAGGCCAGGCTGCCAGAAGGGCAAGGAGGTGGAAGGGAATTGCAACTAGAATTTATGGTGTTATGATTAACACGTTAGACGCTAACTGCAAATGAAGCCTTGAATGCCAAGTTGCTCATAGACCCACCCAGCAGCTTGGCCTGGGAGTGACAGATGAGAGGGAGCAAAGGGCAGCTGGGTGGGCCTGGAGCTAGCTGGGTGTGCCCCAGGCCTCTCCTCATCTGTAGGCCTCACCTATCAAGGCTTTCTTTCTGGGCAGGGCTGAGGATTCACTCACTGCCCACGGCCAGCCGGGCAGGGACAGGAGAATGAGAGGTCTCCGCTGGCGGTACACTCGGCTGGTAAGGGCTCCAACTCCGGCTGTGGTGCAAGTTGGGAGGTGGAAGGAGGTGAGGCCTCCAGCAGGGTGGGGCCTGGGCTAGGGTTGGATGCAGGCAGTGACTTGTTCCCCTTTCAAGTCTTCCCTGGCAGGCCTGGGGTTTGGAGCAAGGACTGACTCAGGAACCTGGGATCTTAAACCCCGTGCTCCAAGGTCCTGAGGCCTTGAAGGGGGACAGACTGATGTTTCTGTCCCTTCCTCCCTGGAGTGGGTGCTGGATGGAGTGCTGTCCAGAGCCACACACAGCTAGACCCTGCCTCAGGCCTGAGCCTGGAGAACAGAGGAGGGCAGGAGGGGGGCTCCTGTCCGTCACTCAGTCCCTAAGAGGTCTCTTCCTCCTGTGAAAGGCCTGCAAGGTCATTGTGTGGAGGCACACACGCGTGCATGCACACACACATGCAAACACACATACACATACACATGCAAACACACACACATATAACACATACTCAAACACATACACAAACACTCAAATACACACACTTGAAAACACATGCATACTCAAATGCACTCAAACACATACACACTTTCAAACACACACACATTTCAAACACACTCTGGTACAGAGTGGAAGCTCAAGTGAATGAATGAATGAATGAGTGAATGACTAATGATGTCCCTGCTGGACACGTATTTACACTATCCCAACTGACACAAACACACTGATATGTAAACAGACATATTTACACTCAATACCTTCTCACATCGATTTGCCTACACAACTGTATTCCAAGCCAACACACAATTCACGTGAGCAAACACATTTTACATGAACCTACATATATGATCTCACATATGACTGTACCTGCCATTTCACCGGCTTAACGGGGAAGCCTTCAGGCTTCATTTTCTTCCTTTGTAAAATGCCGATAAGAAGAAATACACAGAAGTCCAGGCATGGTGGCTCACACCTGTAATCCCATCACATTGGGAGGCTGAGGTTGGTGGATCACCTGAGGTCAGGAGTTCCAGACCAGCCTGGCCAACATGGGTAAAACCTGTCTACTAAAAATATAAAAATTAGCCGGGCATGGTGGTGGGAGCCTGTAATCTCAGCTACTGGGGAAGCTGACACAAGAAAATCGCTTGAACCTGGGAGCTGGAGGTCACGGTGAGCCTAGACTGCACCACTGCACTCCAGCCTGGGTGACAGAGCAAGACCCTGTCTCAAAAATACATAGAGATCGGCCAGGCGTGGTGGCTCAAGCCTGTAATCCCAGCACTTTGGGAGGCTGAGGCGGGTGGATCACGAGGTCAAGAGATTTAAACCATCCTGGTCAACATGGTGAAATCCCATCTCTACTCAAAATACAAAAAATTAGCTGGGCATGGTGGTGCGTGCCTGTAATCCAAGCTACTCAGGAGGCTGAGGCAGGAGAATTGCCTGAACCCAGGAGGCGGAAGTTGCAGTGAGCCGAGATCTCACCATTGCACTCCAGCCTGGGTAACAAGAGCGAAACTCCGTCTCAAAAGAAAAAAAAAAAATACGCAGAGATCACAGACAGTGCACACTGAACACAGGCCTGGGCATGGGTGGTTTTTTGTTGTTGTCATTATTTAATGTACAAACACACACAATTGAAGCTCCCAGGGCTGGGCCACCACCTGCTTTCTCTTCTGCTCCCAAGCTTAGAACTTGATCCCTGTCACCCTCCCAGGATCCAGAGCAAACAGGCCAACGAACCACAGGGCCCACGGCCCCATCCAAGCCTCATGGTGTGCTGGCAGAAGCCATGGGGACTCTGCTCCTGGCTTTGGCCCACAGGGGCCAGGGAGGAAGCAGGCCAGCAGCAGGGTGGCATCCTGTCTGCTGTGGAAACCCCCACCTACCCTGGGCTGGGCCAGGGGTTACCAGGGCCAGGGCAGGGAGCAATGTGGTGGCCTGTGGAGGCTCTCGGGCTCAGGAGATGGTGGAAGCTGTGACCTCCTGTCCCTGGACCTATGAGGTCTCTTTGTGTTTTCACAGCCCAGCCAGGCGGAGGACACCCTGTCTGGGGAGGAGGGTAAGGAAGAGGAAGAGGAGGAGGAGGAGGCAGCTCCAGCCTCAGCTGCTGCTCCTGAGGATCCCACGGTGCCCCAGCTGACAGAAGCCAGCCAGGTTCTGAGTGCCTCAGAGATTAGGCAGGTCTGGGCATTGCCCACAGCACAAGAATTTCAGCCCTAAACCTAAAGGTCTCACCCTCCTGCCCTATACCAGCTATGCCCAGGGACACCTAGAGTCATTCTTGCTCTGCTCCCACCTTTCATTACCTCCAGCAAATTGCTTCTTCCCTCTGGGCTTTGCTTTCCTTTTGTGTAAAATCATCCAGTGTTGCTAGCACCTCCCTCTTCACTGGGCCAGGAGGTTAAGCAGGTAAAGAAAGAGGTTAGGCCAGGTGCGGTGGTCACGCTTGAATCCCAATGTTTTGGGAGGCCAAGGCAGGAGGATTACTTGAGGCCAGGAGTTGGAGACCAGCCTGGCCAACATGGCAAAATCCTGTCTACTAAAAATACAGAAATTAGCCAGGTACAGTGGTGCGCACCTGGTCTCAGCTACTCAGGAGGCTGAGGCTCGAGACTCACTTGAACACAGGAGGTGGAGGTAGCAGTGAGCTGAGATCGTGTCATTACTCCAGCCTGGGTGACAGAGTGAGACTGTCTCAAAAGAAAAAAAAGAAAGAGACTAATTCCTACATAGAAGCAGCCCTTGGGAACTGAGGCCAAAGCTAGAGAGGGATGGGAGGAAGTGACGGAGGGTCAGGAGGAAGGGTTCAGCATCTTTCCTCTTCTCTGGCCTCTGTGGGGCAGAGTGACCAAGCAGAGTGTCCTGAGTTCGAATCCTGGCTCTGCCATTCACTACCCATGTGGGCTTTGGGCTAGTTGCTCCACCTCCCAGAGCCTCTGTTTCCTCATCTGTAACATGGGAATAACAACCCCTATCTCCAAGGACTATTGCTCATGGCCTGAAAGTCCCTGGAAACAGCTCTATCGCCTGTAAAGCACTGTGCTGGATGCATGATGGCTGTCCAAGCCCACCCCCAGGACATAGCAGGAGGGCTCAAGGAGAACTCCTTCACTCACCTCCAGCCCTGTCCCCAGCTCAGCTGTCACTTCCCACCAAGAGTCACCGGCCATCCCTGGAGTCTGGTCTTCTGCACGTCAAGGGACGGTTTCAGCCTGCAGAGCCTGTACCGGCGGATGGAGGGCTGCAGTGGGCCAGTGCTGCTCGCACTCAGGGACCAGGACGGGCAGGTGAGCTGGGCATGGGTGCCGCCCAAGGCTCTGGGTGTCTGTGGGCCTTGCCCCAGGGCAGCTCAGGGATGAGCAGGCAGAGTGACTGAGTCACCTGTAATGGACACTGATGATAGCAACGAGACCTGGCCACTCAGAGCCATTCCCCATTTATGTATTCAACACATCTACATGAGACAGCTTCTGCATGCCAGGTGACAGGTGGGATAGAGCAGAATCAACCCAGAAGTGGCCCCAGCTCTCTTGGAGCTAATGGTCTAACAGGGGGAAGGGTCAGACAGAAAGCAAATAATCATTAAACTGTAAAACTGCATCTTCATCCTCGGAAGCAGAAGAAACTATGGGGCTCACACCTGTAATCCCAGCACCCTGGGAGGCTGAGGCAGGAGGATTGCTTGAGTCCAGGAGTTCAAAACCAGCCTGGGCAACATAACCAGACGCTATCTCTACAAAACAACAACAAAATTAGGTGTGGTGGTGTGTGCCTAGAGTCCCAGCAACTGGGGCCGAGGGTCTTGCAGGGAGGCTGAGGCAGGAGGATCACTTGAGCCTGCAAGGTTGAGGCTACAGTGAGCCAGGATCACACCACTGCACTCCAGCATAGGGGACACAGTGAGACCCTATCAAAAAAAAAAAAAAAAAAAAGAAAAGAAAAAAAGATATACACTGGCATTAAACTGATGTCAGAAGGAAACACATAAAAATATTGAGGCAGTTACCCTGGGGAAGGAGGGGGATTGGGAGATAGCTTTACTTCTTTTCTTTTGCTTGTCTATAACTTCCACTTTTTGTATGATTACTTGTATAGAGTAAGTATATATATATATATATATATAAACAGAGTCTCACTTTGCCTTCCAGACTGGAGTGTAATGGCACAATCTTGGCTCACTGCAACCTCCACCTCCCAGGTTCAAGTGATTCTCCTGCCTCAGCCTCCTAAGCAGCTGGGATTACAGGCACCTGCCACCACACCTGGCTAACTTTTGTATGCTTAGTAGAGAGATGGGGTTTGGCTATGTTGGCCAGGTTGGTCTCCAACTCCTGACCTCAGCCTCCCAAAGTGCTGGGATTACAGGTGTGAGCCACCGCACTCAGCCTAGAATAAGTGTATTTGAGAAAAAGGAGGGCTCTGACTGCCCAGAGGAGGAGCCACCAGGAGCTCTTCCTTGGGGAGCGTTAAGGGAAGGATGCATAAGGATTCCTGTTCATGGGTGTGCAGCCCCCATGCCCCAGCTCTGCCCCAGCTTCCCAGGTGCCCTCTAGGATGAGCCCATGTTACTAAATCTGGAGAATGGGGGTTGCCAGAGGACCCCCAGCTCCCTCACAGCTGCAGACTGCAACTTCTGCTTTCCAGATATTTGGAGCCTTCTCCTCCTCGGCTCTCCGACTCAGCAAAGGCTTCTATGGCACCGGCGAGACATTCCTCTTCTCCTTCTCTCCACAGCTGAAGGTGATGTTCCAACCTTCCATGGGGGGAGTGGGATGTGTGGCAAGACAGAGCTCCTGGGGTCCCAGTGGCCCCCCAGCTCCATCCTTCATGATGGGCTGCCTGGTGTGCCACCATCTTTCCACAGGGGGAATGAGCAGGGCAGGGGTGGGCAGAGCATCCCCCTTGACCTGCCCATCCTGCATTTAAAACATGCTTGGTGGGTCTCTGGGTACTGCTGACTGGCTGAGAGGAGGGAGGACAGTGCTTGCCAGGCACAGGCTGGGAAGACAAGATGGTCCAAGGTAGACCTGAGGGCATGGTGGCAGGATGACGAAGGAGGACTCAGCCAGAGGCTTCTTAGGAAGTATGGAGGCTGAGCACCGTGGTTCAGGCCTGCGTTGGAGGCCAACGCAAATGGGTCGTTTGAGGCCAGGATTTCAAGATCAACCTCGGCAACATAAGGAGACCCCACCTCTACAAGAAACACAAAAATTAGCTGGACATGGTGGAGCACACCTATGGTCCCAGCTACTCGAGAGGCTGTGGGGGGAGGATCTTTTAAAAACTCGGGAGGTTGAGGCTGTGGTGAGCTGTGATCGCACCACTACACTCCAGACTGGGTGACAGAGCAAGACCCTGTCTCCAAAAAAAAAAAAAGGAATAAATATGGGGTGAGGTCACTGCTAGAGGAGGGCGAAGAAGGGAATATCACAGTCATCACAGGTGTGGGAAGGGAGGGAAGCAGGGAAACCTGCTGGAAAGCTCGAGTCAGAGCAGCAGAAGCGCTGCTGGGCTGTGCGAGTGGCATCTGGTGTTGCGAGGTCAGGGCGCTGCTGTTTCGGTGCCTGCTTCTTTGGCAGCATTGGCTGCTCGGCGCAGTCCTGCAGAGTGGGGGCAGCAGAGAGTGGACTGCAGAGAGTGGGCCGCCAGGGTTGGGATTTTGCCAAATGGGTTTAACAGTGGAGGGAACCAAGAAAGTTGAACGTAATGAAAATACAATATGGACCATAGAACTCAGACTGGACACGGAGGGGAGGGAGGCCAGGGCGCTGAGGGGCACCCAGGCAAAGGTGGACTCAGGGCGAGAGTTCTCCTTGACGTCAAAGACTTGGGGCAGCAACAGCAGCTGAACAATGTGTTGGAAGACAGGAGAGAAGGACATTTGAAATAGGCTGTGGAGGAGCCACCTGCCATCCCTGGTGAGGACAAATTCTCAGATGTGACCACAAAAGACAGTGGTGGAAACCCACTCTGGGGGAGGCCCTGGATGGATTCACATGGATGGTGAAGTTTACCAGGGCGCTGGGAAGGGTCGGGGGTGGTGAGTCAGAGCTCAAGTTTCTAATTAATGATGAGCGGAAGAGTGACTGGTACAGTCAGGTGGCACAAGCTGCCAAGGAGCTGGGTGAGAATCACAATCCCAAACGCCTTCCATCCAAAGACTTCTTGCCTCTGGGCTATTCATCAACTGAAGCTATTGAGCAGTACCTGCTGGGCACAGAGCATACTATTTTTACTACTAATAAAAATGGCCAGGCCAAGCACTGTGGCTCATGCCTATAATCCCAGCACTTAGGGAGGCAGAGGCAGGAGAATCTCTTGAGCCCAGGAGTTCAAGACCAGCCTGGGCAACAGAGTGAGGTGCCATTCTCTACAAATAGGAAAAAAACAAAAACAAAACCAAAGATGGCCAGGTGCGGTGGCTGGCTCATACCTGTAATCCCAGCATTTTGCGGGGCTGAGGTGGGATGATTGCTGGAGCTCAGGAGTTCAAGACCAGCCTGGGCAACAGAGTGAGATGCTGTCTCTAAAAAAAAAAAAAAAATTTTTTTTTTAATTGTTCAGTGGATGAACTCGTTTCAGGTGTTTTGCTATTAGAGAGTTGTCCAACGCACAGACCAAGATTCATTCAGACACGTCCAATCACACAATCACCTGGTCTCATGAGAGGGAGTTCACAAGGAGCTATGCACTACCTTGCTAACAGCAAAATATACTGTATCTATTGCATTGCTGCCATCAGTCACAGGGGCTCCATCAATTTTCCCAGGATCCAGGAAAGGGTCAGTGATGCATGGTGAGCCAGTGCTGGTACTACTTATCACCACTTGCCTTCCTAAGCTTAAATCCTAGAATAATTCTAATGGTCTAAAATTTTCTTTCCACTGCACTGACAGCTTCTAGTCAGGAGTTTGAGACCTGTCTGGCCAACATGGTAAAACCCCATCTCTACTAAAAATACAAAAATTAGCTGGGCATGGAAGTATGTGCCTATAATCCCAGCTACTCAGGAGGTTGAGGCATGAGAATCGCTTGAATCTGGGAGGCGGAGGTTGCAGTGAGCTGAAATCACACTACTGCACTCCTCTGGGCAACAGAGTACGATTCCTTCTTGAACAAAAAAAAAAAAAAAAGAAAGAAAAAGGGAAGCTAGAATTCACAGCATATCGCTCCTTGGCTTCCTCTCTTACTTGGAGAAAAGCACAACTGTGTATAATGATCTACAAGTCCTACACCTTCTGGCCTCTATCTGATGTCATGTCTTGCTACTTTTCCTTTCTCCCGCTCTGCTCCAACCACACTGGCCTCTGAGCTGGTTCTCATGCCAGCCGGCTCCTGCCTCAGGGCCTTTGCAGATGCTATTCTGCCTAGAATGTCCCTCCACTGGATCTCTGCATGGTTCCATTCCCACCCCCTTCTCTGTTCTGATGTCACCATCCCAGTGAAGGCTTCCCTCGCTTTCTGATGTAAAATGGCAACACCCAGCCAGTCGTGGTGGCTCATCTCTATAATCCCAGCACTCTGGGAGCCCAAGGTGGGAGGATCACTTGAGGAGTTCAAGATCAGCCCTCACAACATAGTAACATCTCATCTTTAGAAAAAGCAAACAATAGCTGGGTATGGTGGCACATACCTGCAGTCCCAGCTACTCCTGAGGCTAAGACAGGAAGATCACTTGAGCCCAGGAATTCTAGGCTGTAATGAGCTGTCATTGATCATGCCACTGCATTCCAACCTGGATGACAGAACAAGACCCTGTCTTGCCGGGCATGGTGGCTCAAGCTTGTAATCCCAGCACTTTGGGAGGCCAAGGCGGGTGGATCACGAAGTCAAGAGATTGAGACCATGCTGGTCAACATGGTGAAACCCTGTCTCTACTAAAAATACAAAAAGTTAGCTGGGCATGGTGGCGCATGCCTGTAATCCCAGCTACTCAGGAGGCTGAGGCAGGAGAATTGCCTGAACCCAGGAGGCGGAGGTTGTGGTGAGCCGAGATTGCGCCATTGCACTCCAGCCTGGGTAACAAGAGCGAAACTCTGTCTCAAAAAAAAAAAAACAAACCCTGTCTCTAAAAAATAAATAAATAAAATGACAATACGTACCCCTAGGAAGCCCTTAGTGTCCTTCTCCCCCTAGCATTTGCCATCATCTAACAGATAACTTTTTTTTTTTTGAGACAGAGTTTTGCTTTTGTGGCCCAGGCTGGAGTGCAGTGGCGTGATCTCAGCTCACTGCAACCTCCGCCTTCCAGGTTCAAGCTATTCTCCTGCCTCAGCCTCCTGAGTAGCTGGGATTACAGGTGCCTGCCACTACACCCAGCTCATTTTTGTATTTTTAGTAGAGATGGGGTTTTATCATGTTGGTGAGGCTGATCTCAAACTCCTGACCTCAGGTAACCCACCCACCTCAGCCTCCCAAAGTGCTGAGGCATGAGCCACCACGCCCGGCCAGAGGACTTCTTTTACTTTGTTACTTGCCTTCTCCCACTAGAAAGTGAGTCCTTTGAAGCAGAGGTTTTTGTCTGTTGTGTTCACCATTCTACCCAGTGCCTAAAAAGAGTGCCTGGTGCAAAAATGTTTTAAAAAATTGTTGAATGAAGCCGGGCGTGGTGGCTCACACCTGTAATCCTAGCACTTTGGGAGGCTGAGGTGGGTGGATCACCTGAGGTCAGGAGTTCAAGACCAGCCTGGCCATCATGGTGAAACCCCATCTTTAAAAAAAAAATTGTTGAATGAAATGAATTAAGTTTTTCAGGGGAATCTGTCTTTCCAGCCTATTGTTATGGAAAGTCATCTTCTAAAAAATTGCTTAATTCTTACCTATCTTTGGTCTTCTGGCACTTGTATTCCCCATGAATTCCTGGTAGTCCCTTGATCACGATTCCAAGCGGCACCATGAACTTGGTCTTAATTTCTTCCACAGCAATGTTTACCTTACTCCTTCAGGTCAAGGTCATGTCCTTGAAGAAAGTAGAGGAGGACTTGAATGATTCTGTCTTCTTGTGGTCACTTGTTAATATGATCTCATCCCTCCTGAGCATAGGATGTATCTCTTATTAGTCTGTTTTTTGCTAAAACCCTTTGGTTGCTCACAGCATTTTGGGCCACTGATTAAGGCAGTAACATCCTATCCATTTGCAGCCATTTAAAACTAATTTGACTCTTCAATAATTTATGTATCCCACAAATACATATTTGTCAGGAATACAGCCAGAAATAAGACAGGCCACATGGAACGTACATCTTTAAAATAAATAAATAGAAGTAAAACAGGGTCTGGGAGGAAGGACTACTTCGGATAGGGTGGTCCAGGAAATTTCTCTGAGATGGCATTTGGGCTGAAGGATAAGAGGTGGGCCCTCTGAGGATCTGGGGGACGAACATTCTGGGCAGAGGGATCCTAGGGCAGGAATGGGCTTTGAGTGTTCCAGAGATGGAAAGGCTGGTGTAGCTAACGTGTAGTCAATAAGAGGGAGAAGGGGTCAGGGAGAAAATCCGCTTTTAAATTTTGACGCTTTTAAGTGTACTTTTAAGTTTTGAAGTTTTTTGTTGTTTTTTGGAGTTGGGGTCTCGCTCTGTCACCCAGTCTAGAGTGTGGTGGTGCAATCATAGCTCATCGAAGCTTACACTCCTGGCTGGGCTCAAGTGATTCTCCCACCATAGCCTCCCTAGAAGCTGTGACTATAGGTGCACAGTACCATGACCAGCTAGGTAAAAAAAATTTTTTTAGAGTTAGGGGAGGGGTCTTACTATGTTGCCCTGGTTGGTCTAGAACTCCTGACCTCAAGGAAACTCCTGGCTTCAAGGAGACTCCTGGCCTCAAGTGATCCTCCTACCTCAGCCTACTGAGTAGTTGGGATTACAGGTGCACACCATCACACCTGACTGGTTAAAAAAGTGCTTTTGTAGAGATGAATTCTATGTTGCCCAGGCTGGTCTCAAATCCTGGCCTCAAGTGATTCTCTGGCGTTGGCCTCCCAAAGTGCTAGGATTACGGGCATGAGCCACTGCGCCAGGCCCCGGGCTGCATTTCTGGCCATTGTTAAAGAGTTGAATTTTATCCCCATTGCAATAAGAGGGTTTAGGCAGAGGAGTGGTAATATCTAATTTGGATATTGAACAGATCACACAGACTGCAGTGTGGGTATGGCTGTGTAAGCATAGACAGTGGAGGCAGAGAGACCAGCTGGGAGGCTGTGATCCAGGCAGAGGACGGGGTAGAGATGGGGGCAGACAGGCATATGTCTAGAGCCGCAGGGCTTGTTAATGAGCTGGATGTGAGGCAGCACTAAGGCCAGGCAGGCTGGTGTAACCTGGGTGAGAGGCCATGATTAGTCAGTTAATTAATGGCAGTATCAGTCCCAACTCCTGGCTTTGGAAGCAGGAAGCCTCAGGGGTTGTTATCCTATTCTAGAACAAAGTGGCTTCTAGGCTGTAGGAATTCAAACTAGAGGGCATGTGGTGGTGACTCCAGGGGGACTGAGAAAAGAAATCCTAAGAGCCTTGAGCCTGGAGTCCCACCTACAGCGCGGTTGGGGACTGGATGCTGTTCCCGCCACAACACTGCCACCCAGTGGTTTGGGGTCAAACTGCAAGGGTGGGACTCACTCGGCCAGTAACCTGAGCCTTTTTTCCTGTCACCCAGGTGTTTAAGTGGACTGGAAGCAACTCTTTCTTTGTGAAGGGAGACTTGGATTCACTGATGATGGGCAGCGGCAGGTGAGTGTCTCAGTCCTCTCCAGTCTTGGGATGTCTGTATTATGGTTCCTTTCCCTCTGCTGAACTGCTGGGCTAGGCTGCCCTGGATGTAACGGGAAGGCTGGTGGGGAACTCTCAGGCCGTTCCTTTCATTGTCAGCCCCCTAGCCAACCCCGTCATGTAAACCAGTATTAGGAGAAAGGATGCATGAGCGCCCCCACTGAAGTGTTATAGCTGGTGACAGTTAGTCTGAACACATGCAACTTTGGGAATAGAATTCTACATGGTTGGATGAAGCTAGCATCAAAAGATGGGCGTGCCTTGTTTTTCCATCAGCCCAGGAATCGCAGGGGACATAACTCATTACAGGAGCCTGCCTCGGTAAGGACAAGGAGTGGAGAGAGTTAGGAAAAAAAGAGTTGATCTCATCCTGGTGTGACCTTCACATTCGGGGGCATGTGCCTTATCCTGAGGGCAGAGATGAAAGCATTGCTTGATTAGTACCAGGCAAATTCTTTGCTCTCCCAACTTCCTGAAAAGCTTCCATTGAGGGGCAGCTTGGCACAGAACTCATCAGCCACGGCTGATCTGCAGGAATACAATTCCTGCCTCCAGCTGCGGTTTTCTGTCAAATGAGGGGATTAAAATGGATGCTCTAAAGCATTTGGGCTCTCAGAGTTTGCACCCTGAGATGTACTAGCTTTGGTCAAAGAATTGCCATCTTAAAAATGCTCCAAATGTTCTCAAACTGGGCTGTGGTGATGGTTGTGCCACTGTACATACTTATTAAAATAATGAACTGTTTTAAAAATGCTTTTGGCCAGGTGCATTGGCTCACACCTGTAATCTTAGCACTTTGGGAGGTTGAGACAGGCAGATCACTTGAGGCTGGGGGTTTGAAACCAGGCTGGCCAACATAGCAAAACCCCACCTCTACTAAACATACAAAAATTAGTCAGGCATAGTGGTCAGTGGCCTGTAATTCCAGCTACTTGGGAGGCTGGGGTGGGAGAATTGCTTGAACCTGGGAGGCCAAGGTTGTGATGAGCGAAGATGGTGCCACTGCACTCCAGCCTGGGCAACAGAGCAAAATTCTATCTCAATAAATGAATAAATAAATAAAATAAAAAATGCTTTTAACCTCATGGGGAACAATGTGCTGAGTCCCCAATAATTTAGTATAAGTTGGCTTAAGGGGCAATGAGACAAGTGAACCTGGGCTGCTATCCCGGTATGGCCAAGAGCTGATGCTGGTGGCAGAGGCTGAGGGCTTCAGCACGCAGGAGCGAGCCGCACCAAGACTGCCCTCTTCTCTCCAGTGGCCAGTTTGGGCTGTGGTTGGATGGAGACTTGTTTCACGGCGGAAGCTACCCTTGTGCAACCTTCAACAATGAGGTGCTGGCCCGGCAGGAGCAGTTCCACATCCGGGAGCTGGAGGCCTGGCTTCTCAGCTGATGGCCCTGTGGCAACAGGTACTCAGCCCTGCTTATGAATGCCACTCAGGCCTCCCTGACACCCGTGCTCTCCGAAACACAGACGGTGAAGGGCCCTGGAGTGGGCTGTGGCTGCTGGCCAGCCTTCTTGTGGCCTGGGGACCCAATATACAGGTGGGGGCAGGCACTGCTCTTTTGCAGAGGTGACTCTGAAGGATTAAAAGATGCTTACACCCTACCCAAGCAGCACAGAGTTCCTCATAAACATCATCATTTTAGAAGTTCTACAACTAATTCATGTTTATAGTAGAAAAGCCAGAAGACATTTAAAAAAATTAAAACTGCCTAAAATTAAACCCTCCAGAAACTCTTAACATATTCATATATATCCTTCCAGTGTTCTATGAATATGTACATGAGTGTGTATATTTACAAAAGTGGGATTTTACTCTGTATGTGTGGAAGTGATTTTAACTTACAGAATGTTGTCAAACCTTGGACACCTGGGCTTGAGCACTGGAACTAAGAAAGGCTCTAGCAGCGTTGTTCTTCCTCTGGGCTGCTCTGGCACGTTGAGGCCCTTCTGCCTGCCACCAGTACCGGGTGCCTGTGACTCTGTGATTTAATTTCAGGATGAAAGTATGAAAGCAGCAAATGAATAAGATGCACATTTGGACAAAGAGGGCAGAACCTTTGTAGACAGGAACCTCAGGAAGGTTAAAAGGGAGGAAGGTGCATGTTTTCAGGCACAACTGGGTCTTGGAAATCTAAGAAAAATCCATTTCCTTTTCCATGCTAGTGTCTGCCTCCTGGCAAAGAAAAGATTTTTCACTATGCTGCTAGTCACCAGCGACTGAATGAGGAAAACCAAACACCACAGAACCTGTTAAATACCATCCCCTCCCACAGACCCAACAGTGCTGAGGTACTAAGACATGTCTGGACAGATTCCCATACAAAACACATTTCCTCAGCACAGAAGGGTCAAACTGGACACACCGTAGTATGAGAAAAAGTGGTGAAGGAACACACCTTTCAGGATGGAGATACATTCATGAAGCTTTATTGCAGCTGTTTCCCTTACCAATGGAAGGAGCCAGTGATTTTAACTTCAGTTCTGTTTACATTCCCAAGGTAACCACGTTCAGTAACTCTCTAGAGGCTAAGCTGTTAAAATTTCCATTTTTAAACAAATAGTGAAGATGTTTCTTTTTTTTTTTTTTTTTTTTGAGACAGAGTTTTGCTCTTGTCCCCAGGCTGGAGTGCAGTGGCCCAATCTCAGCTCACCGCAATCTCCGCCTCCCAGGTTCAAGCAATTCCTCTGCCTCAGCTTCCCGAGTAGCTGTGATTACAGGCGCCCGCCACCAAGCCTAGTTAATTTTTGTATTTTTAGTAGAGGCGGGGTTTCACCATGTTATCCAGGCTGGTCTCAAACTCCTGATCTCAGGTGATCCGCTTGCTTCTGCCTGCCAAAGTGCTGAGATTACAGGCATGAGCTACCTCCCTTGGCCAAGATGTTTCTTAAGAAAAATGTTACCTTGTAAATAGCATAGAGTTCTTATAATGAAACAGTTGCACAGAACATAAAGTGCAGCTGCCTTACATGTAACAAAAGATCCATACAAAATAGATTCAAGTTGTTTTGCAGATAGCACAATGATACAATAACAGGACTACAAAATCCCAGAGTAAACCACAATGATTTACAGGTAAGATACACAGAGATAAAATGATTTTAACAAAAAAAATATGACATTCTTAACCTTAGGTCTGAACACATGTCTGACCCCTGTAGAGGCACCCTGGCTAAAACCGGTATGACCTAGTGCCATGGTTGACCTCAGCTGTGCGTTGCTGAGCCCACGTGAACAAATCCTCCCCAATACAGCACCATGGTAGGCGTGAGAGGAGAAGGGTTTTAACTATTGTCTTATGAATTATAACCAACCCTTATTAACTACTGATGGATGGATGGGGGGTGGAGTGATCGTATAGGATGGCAGACATTCCAAGTACTCTTCACCCCAATGTGGACGGAACAGAATCTGGCTACGCAGTGGCCAGCGACATACTGCTGAGAAATCTGCTGCCCTGTGGCCTGAGTTCCCCTACTTGCTTGGGGGGCCCCTCACTCCCAGTCTGCCAGGGAGGCCTAGTCCAGGGAGCATCAGAGCAGAAGACATTCAGGGCTCATGGCTGCCATCCCCACTGGCTTGCATCTTCAGCACCCTCTGGCCACCACCAGCATTGGCTCTAACTGCAGACGTTCTTGGTGAACTGCTCTAGAATTGGGAATGAGGTGTGCCCTGGGTACACGGGCACTACCCTACCAAGGTGGTACCCACTCCACTGCTGGGAAAACCAAGTTACCTAGGGGATTCTGGAACCCACTGGGTGGTCACTGATTTCAGCACAGGCAGTGCAGTATTTGCTCTTTAACATACAAAATGCACTGAACCAGTAAAAACAAAGTCCCAGGTCTGAAGAGTTCTGAGGACGGTGCTTGTGATGGCCTCTGGCAAGCTCTCCAGGATACTCAGAGAGCAGGTCAGCAGAGGCCTTCTCCAGGCTGGGCAGTGGGAAGGCCCTCTGGACTGGAGGAGTGAGTATTCAGGAGACAAAGATACTGCTCAGGTCTGGAGCCTCCACTGAGCCTGGGTACAGCCTGGTTTGGGGAATCCCTCTGTCACTGGGGATAGGGATCTCCCAACAAGAGGCGCCTTCATGCTGCACTCATGAGGAGGCCAGAGCTCTCCGATCTTCCCCAAAACCTAATCAGGCCTCTCTAGCATGTCGGAGACCACTCCTGGCCATTGTCTCCTACCCTTTACCCCAACCTGGCAGCTTGTAGGGGGCTAGAAGGGTGACTTGAAGAGGACTATCCTCAAACTTGAGGTGACAGGGAACTCTTCAGAGGGGCAGGATTTGCTGTTTTGTTTTTAGCCATGTTTATCTATGACAATGTCAACTCCTAATTCCAATTTGTACCCTTGTCTCATTTCTATGTTAAAAACAAAAAAAACATCTATCATAAAAGTTCAGAGTAAACTGGGTGTGGCAGCATGTGCCTGTAGTCCCAGCTACTTGGGAGGCTGAGGCAAGAGAGTCACTTGAGCCCAGGGAAGTTCGAGTCCAGCCTGGGCAACAAAGCAAAACCTTTTATATTTAAAAAAAAAAAAAAAAAAAAAAGAGTTCAGAGTAGATAAGAGTTGTTATTCTTAGAAAATAGACTACCAAAGGAGAAAAGCTTTAATTAATATTAAAAATAGGCAAGGTAATGCTTTTCATATATAATAAGATTTGCCTAATACCATCTTATTTCTTTGATTAAAAATTACTTCTCTTCAGCATGTGTGTACATTCAAAATACAAAATTAAAGCATGAGTTGTCATAAAATTTTCAGAATACTATGACTGAAGCCCCTAAGTTAATTGTGTGGGGAGGGCATTTGTAAACAACCGCCTGCAGACATTACACCGGGTCATCCTTAAAAAGCCGGGCTCTGCTTTTGGATGCTTCTCGGAGGCGAGCTGGACTCTGGGCTGAAGCCCTGTAGTTCCATTCGTCTTTCTGAGGTGTTATGAGTGGGGCTACAACATCGCCATCCTATCAGGAAGAGAGAGAAAAACGGAACAGAGAAGAGCCAGTCTGTATCATCTTATTTCTGAGAGAGTCTCAGGTGCGCACATCCTTGTCTTGCATATAGATTGCTTCTAGGTATACTCACTCTAGGGAAACTCCAAATTACCTATGCCCTGTGCTTGGGACAAATTAGAAACATCACAGCCTTACTCAAGAGGAGCCTTCATGAAAACAGCCACTGGCCTCTGCAGGGATGACTGGAAGCAGCACACCCCTGCCCAGCTCTATGGCCTCCTTCACACACCTTCATGAAGCACAAACCCTGTCCTGTTTTCCCAGGAGAAAGGTGGGCTGCACTGAATCCCTGGCTTCTCTCACGCCTGGTCCCCTCTGCAATAAATGGCCCAGGTCTACAAGATGGCAAAGAAAGGGAGGAAGGACAGTATGTACATGCAGATTTTAAATTTTTCTCTGCATCAAAGCTCTAACATTGGCCCCATCAGCACAGGCTCCAGACAAAGGAGCTCCTCTACCCAAAATGAAGGGAAGACCTAAAGCGAGGTGATACAATGACCTGAAACCAGAGTGGTAAGAAGAGAGCCTCCTAACACCTGACTCTATGCTAAACTGTTCTGAACCTGTGGGTAGATCCTCTTTGGTTACAAGATAACACAGGATCTTAGGGAGCCTCTGTTGTACCAGGAATACAATGCTGGTAGGAGGATTCCTGTTCTTCATCTGCCTATTTTCTCTCAGACCCATTCTTCACTCCTCTCCCTACTCTGTTTCATAGGAGCTACTCTGGTAAATTACATTTTTCAGTTCCCATGCCTGTTGGTTTTCAGTTAGGTTTGGTCAATGGGATGCGCTGGTGGGAGACTGGAGGTGAGAGGAGGGCAGAGAAGTCAGGTTATTTCTCTCCCTACCTCCTCTGGCACGAGTGGCAGTGGCAGTGACTATTCTGTGGTTCCAGCTTCTGTAGATGCCCCAGCTCCTGGACTCCCACCTGCTCCCTTGGTCTCTCCTATCCTAGAGGTGGTAGCAGCCTCCTGCTGTTGAATCACTGTCCTCTGTACTCGTTTAGCTCTGCCAAAACTTTTGTATCTCATCCCCCACATTAAATTTCTTCTGCTGAACTACACTGTATTTGACTTGACAGAACCATTAAAGCAGTTTTTAAAATTTTTATTTATTTAATTTTAATCCTGCTCTGTCACCCAGGCTGTAGTGCAGTGGCATGATTTCGGCTCACTGCAACCTCCACTCCAGGGTTCAAACGATTCTCCCACTGAAGCCTCCCAAGTAGCTGGGATTATAGGGTGCACCACCATGGCTAATTTTTGTATTTTTAGTAGAGATGGGGTTTCACCATGTTGGGCAGGCTGGTCTCGAACTCCTGACCTCAGTAAAGGTAATCATTCAGGCTGAGTGCGGTGGCTCACTCCTGTAATCCCAGCACTTTGGAAGGCCAAGGCAGGCAAATTGCTCGAGGTTGGGAATTGAAGACCAGCCTGGGCAATGTTATGAGACCCCATCTCTACTAAAAATACAAAAATAAACTGGGTGTGGTGGCACGTGCCTATTATCCCAGCTACTTGGGAAGCTGAGGCAAGAGAATCACTTGAACCCGGGAGGCGGAGGTTGCAGTGAGCTAAGACGGTGCCACTGTACTCCAGCCTGGGCAACAGAGCTAAAAAAAAAAAAAAAGGTCATTCAATTGTCATGATATTCGTACTTGAAGGCCTATCTCAAAATCAGCAATATTTGTATTTAAACTCATCTCTATTTCTACCCAGCTTTCTTTTTTTCTTTCTTTTTTTTGAGATGGAATTTTGCTCTTATTGTCCAGGCTGGAGTGCAATGGCAAGATCTCGGCTCACAGCAACCTGTGCCTCCAGGGTACAAGTGATTCTCCTATCTCAGACTCCCAAGTAGCTGGGATTACAGGCATGTGCTACCACACCCAACTAATTTTGTATTTTTAGTAGAGATGGGGTTTTTCCATGTTGATCATGGTCTCAAACTCCTGACCTCAGGTGATCCACCCGCCTCAGCTTCCGAAAGTGCTGGAATTACAGGCGTGAGCCACTGCGCCCAGCATTTTTGTTGCTGTTGTTCAGAGAGCATCTTGTTCTGTCAACCAGGCTAGAGTGTAGTGGTGTGATCGTAGCTCACTGCAGCCTCCGACTCCTAGGCTCAAGCAATCCTCCCACCTTAGCCTCCCAAAGTGCTAGGATTATAGATGTGAGCCACCATGCCTAGTATATAGCCAACTGTTTTACTTCTACCCATTCTAATTTCAACTCTAGTGAATTGTATAAATGTAAACAAAGATGTCACTTTCCTGCTTAAAACCCTTCAGTGTTAATGCTCTCCACTCTCTCGGCTGACAGGACTTTACATAAAGCCCCAGACACCTCCACACTCTATGCTTCTTCCTAAAAGGCACCATGTTCTTTCTCATCTTCCGACCTAACCCTGTGGTGTCTATGCCTCAGCCCCTCCCCTACCCCCACCTCCTGCTGCCAGCCCTTCACCCAGACAACTCCTCACTCAACTTTCAGGTCTATAAGCCCTTTTTAAAATAAGCTTTTCCTGACCAACCAAGACCAGCTACATCCTCCTCGTTTTTCTTCCTCTAAGACTGTACGTACCCCACCCCCAAAGGACTTACCATGCTCCCATAATTATTAATTTAGGGAGCAAAATTCATAATAATTATTATTATCCCAAACTAGATTGTTATCCCCAACCCAAAAGGGATCCATGGGAATAAGAAACTGTCTACCTTAGGTGCTAACACAGGGCCTGGACAAACACTTGGTGAGTGAATACACCAAACTGAAGTAGTTATCACCACATAGGCCAACTTTAATAGCCTCTCCTGACTCTCTGTTTCCAGCCTCTCCAAGTTCCAGTCTATCCGCAGCTAGAGTTTTCAGCGATTTAGTTTCATACTACCTAGGACAGATAAACAGTTGGCCCTCTGCATCCATGGGTGGATTCAAGCAACTGTGTAGATATAAAATATTGGGTGGGGGATGGCTGTGTCTACACTAAGCATGTACAAAGGTTTTTTTTTTTTCATGATTCCCTAAACAATACAGTTTAACAACTACATAGCATTACAGATGTGTAATATCTACATTGTAGTAGGTATTATAAGTAATCTAGAGATATTTAAAGTGTAAAGGAAGGTATGCATAGGTCATATGCAAACACTATACCATTTTATATAAGGGACTTGAGCATCTGTGGATTTTTCTATCTGTGGGGGTCCTGGAACCAGTTCCCCACAGACACCAAGGGACAATTCTACTTCCTTATTCCCATGGGTCTCAATGTAGTTGCAGATGACAAACACTCAGGTAGATCATACAGTGGATGGTAACTCTTGAATACTCTCAATGATTCCCTCCCTGCTGTAGAGAGGAAAAAATCTCTTAGCCAATTATCCAAGGTGTTTAATAATCTAGTCCACTCTTCCCATTTAACCTCTCCACACTTAACAGTAAGAATTTCCTATCCTGGAAAGACAGGGACCTCCTTGAGGTCCCCTAAACACTCTCAAGTCATTCCAGTGTCATGCCTTTGTGCTGCTCCCATTGCCAAATACACTCATTCTCCCTGCTACTCATCCAAACATAGCCACGCCTTCTAGATCTAGCAGATCCTGCTCCTTCACCCGGCTTCTCCCATAGCTCTCTCAACTCTCTGAATCCTCAGAGATCTAATCTGGATCACGCTTTGTGGCACTTGGTAAAGCACCAACATTCTGAGCTATGCTTTCATGTCTCACCCTATACTTTGTTCCCTTTAGCACCTAACACACAGGGAGTATGAGGGAGAGTTCTAGACAAGGCAGTAAAGCACTCTTTCCCTGCCTGACAATTATATTCATTCGTTCAGTCAATAAATGCCAACTGGCCGCATTCTCTGTGCAGACACCTACTATGTGTAGGTCAGTAAGAGACAGTTTTAACAACATTCTCTACAGGGTTGGCAACTGTGGCTTGACTCCTCTTCCCTCTACTCTCATTCCATAATTTAAATAGTTAACTAATATACTAAAGTAACAAAATTTAGAAACATGAAGTCTATTATCAATTTTTTCTTTTTAATTTTGAGAGGGGGTCTCACTGTTTCACCAGGCTGGAGTGCAGTGGCACCATCTTGGCTCACTGCAACCTCTGCCCCCAGGTTCAAGCAATTCTCCTGCCTCAGCCTCCTGAGTAGCTGGGACTACAGGTGCGTACCACCACACCCAGCTAATTTTTGTATTTTTTAGTAATTTTACTATTTTTAGTTTCACCATGTTGACCAGGATGGTCTCGATCTCTTGACCTTTTGATCTGCCCACCTCAGCCTCCCAAAGTGCCGGGATCCCACCTGCCCAGCCTATTATCAATGGTATGTTAAACAAGTTAACTACTCAGCTTTGGTAACCTCTGAAAGACACTATGACTAACCTTCCAAGGCCACTGGTGAGCCTAAGAAAGCATTATTTACATGTTCACATTTTTATCTTTTATTATTAGGACAGTAATGATAAAGAATATCCATTCCAACTCATGTAGGCTGAAATCACTGGTTGACACAGATTTAGACATTTTAAAAGGAAACAAAGTGAAAGACTTAATTTTCAAAACCATAACCAAATAACTATAACTTAAATGAGAACTTTTTATCAGATAAGAGTTATTTTTGGTTATTACTAAAAAATAAAAAATTGTGCAAAGTTCGTAACAGGCCACCTACCTGCGGCTTGGTGAAATTTTTGTCAGAACACCACTGAACAAAGTGTTGCTGTGCAGCATACAAACTCTTCGCATCTGTCTTCTTACAGTATACTCGAATCAGCTGCTCTGCAAATCTCTCTGGCAGAAGTTGTGAAACCTTTTTTTAAAATAAAAAGATTTCACTATCACCTTGAATTTACACATTGGAGATATTAGCGGGTGCCTAGGCTCCTAACTATTCCTTTTTTTTTTTTTTTTTTTTTTTGAGACAAGGTCTCCCTCTGTCACCCAGGCTGGAGAGCAGTGGCACAATCACACCTCACCGAAGCCTCAACCTCCCAGGCTCAAGAAATCCTCTCATGTCAGCCTCCTAAGAGCTGGGACTACAGGCATGAGCCACCACGCCTAATTTTTTAAGTTTTTGTAGAGATGAGGTCTCGCTTTGTTGGCCAGGCTGATCTTAAACTCTTGTCCTCAAGTAATCCTCTCACTTCAGCCTTCCAAAGTACTGGGATTACAGGCATGAGCCACTGTGCCAGGCCCATTTTAATTGTAAAGATATGCCTTAAAACCTAATTTACATATAAAATGCTAATATAAATATTTGCTATGTGCCACTGTAGTATATTTGTTCTGCCTAAGTAGTTACCTGGTTTTTAGTAATCATTATCGCTTTGCTGGGGTCACTCTTACAATAGAATCGAACATGATCAATTGGATTCTTGTCTTGCATTCCATAATCCATGTTGATAACCTAAATAAAAGTAATACATAAGTAATCACGTAGCAACCAGGAGAACTGAACTCAGGGCTGAAAGGGCATCACAAGAAATTGAACAGAGGCTGAGTGAGGTGGCTCATGCCTGTAATCCCAATACTTGGAGACCGAGGCAGGTGGGTCACGAGGTCAGGAGTTCGAGACCAGCCTGACCAACATAGTCAAAGCCTATCTCTGCTAAGAATACAAAAATTAGCCAGGTATGATGGTGGGCGCCTATAACTCCATTTACTCGGGAAGCTGAGGCACAGAATTGCTTGAACCTGGGAGGTGGAGGTTGCAGTGAGCTGAGATCTCGCCAATGCACTCCAGCCTGGGCAACAGATCGAGACTCTGCCTCTAAAAGTAAATAAGTAAATAAAATCCCAGCCCCAGAAACCATTCAGCCCCAGATTAAAGTTCAACAAATAATTATAAAAGTATTCAACCACATTTGTTATAAGAGTTACTAAGGAAAAGCACAGGGTGTTTTGAAATGTTCTAATAGGGTACCTGATGTAGCCGACGGTGCCAGGAGAATGACTGGAAACATTTTCCTGGGAAAGTGACTTTACTAAGTGAGCAAGAAAGAAGAGAAATAGGCTTAGGTGAGAAGAGAAAGAATTGCAGACAGAAGAAACAGCTCAGAGGCAGAGAGGACTGAAACTGTCTCCTGGTCTAGCAACACTGAAGTCACTAGTGATCCTGGAGAGAGTATAGTGATGGCAACAGAAACAAGGTTCAGGAGAAAATGAGAAATACAAATTTAAGAGAAGGCAACTCTTAAAAGTTTGGCTGTTAAGAGGAAGCAAGATGTTAAAGAAAACAATTAGAGCAAGATAAGAGAAGTTAGTACTAGGGTTCTGTAACACTGTAGGATGACTATAGTTAACAGTAATCTTTTTTTTTTTTTTTTTGAGATAGAGAGCCTTGCTCTGTCACCCAGGCTGCAGTGCAGTGCAATCTCAGCTCACTACAACCTCCGCCTCCCTGGTTCAAGTGATTTTCCTGCCTCAGCCTCCTAAGTAGCTGGGATTACAGGCACCACCCCACCCAGCTAGTTTTTGTATAAAAATACATCTCTACTAAAAAGTAGAGATGGCGTTTCACCATGTTGGCCAGGCTGGTCTCAAACTCCTGGCTTCCAGTGATCTGCCTGCCTCAGCCTCCCAAAGTGCTGGGATTACAGGCATGAGTCACCATGACTGGCCTAGTTAATAGTCATTTATTACAGTTAAAAAAAATTTTTTTTTTGAGACAGAGTGCAGCTGTAGAGCACATTCTATGTTCATCACTTCTATGGAAGCTTACAGTATTAGTTATCTCCTCCTTTTTGACTTTCCCAACAAAAAATTAGCCAAGCATGGTGACTGGTATCTGTAGTCCCAGCTACTTGGGAGGCTGAGGTGGGAGAATCGCTTGAACCCAGGAGGTAGAGGTTGCAGTGAGCTGAGACTGAGCCACTGCACTCCAGCCTGGTAATACAGCTAGACTATGTCTCAAAAAAACAAAAACAAACAAAAAAAGGCCAAGCAACTAAACAAACAAAACGTTAAAAACAAAAATTAACCAAGTGTGGTGGCATGTGCCTATAGTCCCATCTACCTGGGAAGTTGAGGCAGGATGACTGCTTGAGACCAGGAGGTTGAGGCTATAGCAAGCCATGATCACGCCACTGTACTTCAGCCTGGGACACAGTGAAAGACCCTCTCTCAAACCAAAGTTTAAACTAACATTAGCTGGGTGCAGTGGCTCATGCCTGTAATCCCAGCATTTTGGGAGGCTAAGGCAGGAAGACTGCTTGAGGCCAGAAGTTTAAGACCAGCCTGGACAACATAGTGAGATGCTGTCTATACAAAAAATTAAAAAATCAGCAGGCATGGTGGCACGTGTCTGTAGTCCTATCTACTCAGAAGGCTGAGATGGGGGGATAACTTGAGCTCAGGAGTTCAAGATTATAATGAGCTGTGATTGCATCACTGCACTTCAGCCTGGGCAACAGAGTGAGACCCTGTCTCTAAAAAATAAAGTAATTAATAGTAAATACAATAAAATTTAGTTACTCACTTACAGCAACCACATTTCAAGTACTCAACAGCTGCATGCAGCTAGTGCCAAAGAAAGGGACAGCACTGACCAAGAATATCTCTGTCACTGCAGAAAGTTCTACTGGACGACACCTCTCTAGAACACAAGTAGAATTACCCTAAGCCTTTGACAAGAACAAAGATGTTTCCCCACTATGCAAATGGGAATACTGAATACAGTTGTCGATGGAGGCAGGCTTGTTTCTTTGATGAGAAAGGTCTAAGGAGTTGCTATCTAATGGCCTATACCTATAGTTTATCTTGGAAATAAGAGCCAAAGGTTGGGTTATTCATGAGGATGAATACAGTTGGAGGTAGGAAGCATGGTAGAGGAGGGAGGATAGTCTAAAATGATGATGATGATGATGATTTTTTGGGATGGGGTCTTGCTCTGTTGCCCAGGCTGGAGTGCAGTGGCATGATCTTGGCTAACTGCAACCTCTGCCTCCTGGGTTCAGGTGATTCTCCTGCCTCACCTTCCCAAGTAACTGGGATTACAGGTGTGTACCACCACACCTGGCTAATTTTTTTGTATTTTTAGCAGAGATGGGGTTTTACCATGTTGGCCAGGCTGGTCTCGAACTCTGGACCTCAAGCCATTCGCCTGCCTCAGACTCTTTTTTTTTTTTTTGAGACGGAGTTTCGCTCTTGTTACCCAGGCTGGAGTACAATGGCAGGATCTCAGCTCACCACAACCTCTGCCTCCTGGGTTCAAACAATTCTCCTGCCTCAGCCTCCCAAGCAGCTGGGACTACCGGCGTGCACCACCATGCCCAGCTAATTTTTGTATTTTTAGTAGAGATGGGGTTTCACCTTGTTGACCAGGATGGTCTTGATCTCTTGACTTCGTGATCCACCCACCTCGGCCTCCCACAGTGCTGGGATTATAGCTGTGAGCCACCGCGCCTGGTCGCCTCAGACTCTTAAAGTGCTGGGATTATAGGCCTGAGCCACTGCACCCAGCCTCCATTTGGAGAGAAATGAAGATAGAAGGCCACTGCCAAGCTGGAAGAAGTGAGGACACAATAAACTAGAGGTCCCAATGAGCTAAGAAAGTGTAGATGAGGAGGAAAGGGGTTACTGAACAGAAAAGAGTATGTTTAAATTAGCAATTTTACAGGGAGGGCAGTTTTTTTTTTTTTAAGACAGAGTCTCACACTGTCGCCTAGGCTGGAGTGCAGTAGTGCAATCTTGGCTCACTGCAGCCTCCGCCTCCCGGGTTTAAGCAATTCTATTGCCTCAGCCTCCCTAGTAGCTGGGATTGCAGGCGCCCGCCACCATGCCCAGCTAATTTTTTATATTTTTAGTAGAGACGGGGGTTTCACTATATTGGCCAGGTTGGTCTTGAACTTCTGACTTTGTGAGCTGCCCGCCTCGGCTTCCCAAAAGTGCTGGGATTACAGGTATGAGCATGGCACCTGCCAGGGAAGGCAGTTTTGAATGTTGATAAGGTCCAGGGTCTCACTAGTCTCAAACTCCTGGCCTCAGGTGATCCTCCTGCCTTGCCCTCCCAGAGAGACAGGATTACAGGCATGCATGACCAACCAGTCCAACCTGTACTGCTTTTTTTCCCCCCGCTTATTATATTACAGAAATCTTTCTATGTTAAAAAAAACTTTAATGTTTACATTATTTCACAGTATTTCCTATTGATAGACATATGTTTTCCTCCTAATTTTACACTACAACCATATAATAAAATACTTGTACTTTTTTTTTCAAAGTTAATTATTTCCTTAGGACAAATTCCTAGAATGAAAATTGCTGGGTCAATTAACATTTTAGAACATACTTCTAATTTGGCCTTGTACCAATTTACACTTTTATTTTCACATACTATATTACCAGAATTTTATAATGCTTTTGTTCTTATAAGTTTGATAGTAAAAAAATAATAATTATGTTCACTGCTCCATTAATTTTGCTTAATGTCTTATCCATAAGGTTAAACTTCTTTTCATGTCTACTAGTCATGAGTATATCTTTTCCCATGTGTAGCTTCTTTGAGTAGTTCTGATCCTACATCCTTTTGGAGACTGTACTCTTGAGAGAAAAACCAGATGGCAGCTGGAGGGACTGACCAGGACTGACCACTGCATTGAAGACAAGGGCAAACATGGCAGCGCCCAGGGGAAAACATTCTGGGGAGTGAAGTCTCACAGCCTCAGGAAATTGAGACATGAGATCTCTTTATTCTAATGAAACCTCATTTAGTGAAACAAGAAACCGCAGCTTGATGTGAAGATCTGAGGTACTTCAAAATCAGCCAAGTTAACAGACAGTGAGCCCGAGGGCAATTCACTCATAGCATCATTTGGCAAACAATGGTTATGAAGAGGTCATCCTTTGTTTATGAATTTTTCAACAACAAAATAATAAATAAGAGGTTTATGGGAAAAAACAAAAGGGGCACACTGCCCTGAGATTTCAGAGGAATAGAACTCCAAAAAGGATTTCCTATAGGAAACAAGAAAATGTGAGAAAGCTGTTTGGCATTCTCATTAGAACATGAAAAGACATCACAGCCTCTATGAAAAGGGGAGTCCCTGGAATCCTAGTATTTTGGGAGGCCAAGGTAGGAGGATCGCTTGAGCCCAGGAGTTTGAGACCATCCTGGGCAACATAGAGAGACCTATTCTCTACTGCGAGCCTGTCATCCCAGCTATGCAGGAGGGCTGTGGTGGAAAAATCACCTTGAGCCCAGAAGGTCAAGGCTCCAGTGAGCCTTGATCCTGACACTGCACTCCAGCCTGGGCTACAGCAATCCTGTCTCAACAACAACAAAGTAAAAAAAAAGCTTATATTGAAGGAAAAATATACACAAAAACAAAGAAGCAAACAACCCCACAACTTTTTCTTTTTTTGAGACAGAGTCTCGCTGTCACCCAGGCTGGAGTGCAGTGGCACGATCTTGGCTCACTGCAACCTCTGCCTCCCAGGTGCAAGCGATTCTCCTGCCTCAGCCTCCTGAGTAGCTGGGACTACTCAGGTGCATGCCACCATGGCCAGCTAATTTTTGTGTTTTTAGTAGAGACGGGGTTTCACCATGTTGGCCAGATGGTCTCGATTTCCTGACCTTGTGATCCACCCACCTTGGCCTCCCAAAGTGCTGGGGTTACTTTTTTATTTTTTCTTTTTCTATTTTTTCTGGAGTAGAGTCTTACTCTGCTGCCCAGGCTCGAGTGCAGTGGCACCATCTTGGCTTACTGCAACCACTGCCTCCTGGGTTCAAGTGATCCTCCTGCATCAGCCTCCAGAGCAGCTGGGACTATAGGAGTGTGCCACCACACCTGGCTTACTTTTTTGAATTTTTAGTAGAGACAGAGTTTTGCCATGTTGGCCAGGCTGGTCTTCAACTCCAGACCCATCTTGGCCTCCCAAACTGCTAGGATTACAGGCGTGAGCCATTGCACCTGGCCCCACAACTTTTTCCTTTGTGTTTGAATGCAGGCAATAAAAAAAATTAAAATGTATTACTTATGTAATTTAAAAATTTTAATATAGACAATGTAATCACATGAATTTTTTTTGTGTGGTTAATAACATTGGTTCTCTTTGTGAGGCCACAGATGACTTCCTTTCTTCTATCTTTCTGTATTTTTCTAAGTTGTTATAATGAACATGCACTACTTTGATAATGATGGGGTGCTTTATCTTTAAAAAATTATTCACGTATTTCTGGACTAATTACTTACATCCACTATAAAATGTTCAGCCTTCAGCTTTACTTCTAGTGGTACTTTGGGTTTAGCATCAGCAACCTCTTTTGGAAGACATTCATAGTTCTCCTGGAAAACACAATCCTCCATGTTAGAATCCATTTTTCATCGTTAAGTGTTCGAGCTACAAACAGGTTTCCTTTATGAAAATGGCACCTAAGAAAAATGATTAGAGATATCCTTAACAAATATCACTCCTACCAATGCCACCCTTTAAACAAAAAGAGCAATTTCTGTGAAAAATTATAAAAGGGAAAAAAAATCACCAGGCATGGTGGCTCATGCATGTAATTCCAGCATTTTGGGAAGCTGAGGTGGGCAGATCACCTGAGGTTGAGAGTTCAACACCAGCTCGACCAACATGGAAAAACACCATCTCTACTAAAAATACAAAATTAGCCAGGTGTGGTGGCGCATGCCTGTGATTCCTGCTAATCGGGAGGCTGAGGCAGGAGAATCACTTAAACCCGGGAGGTGGAGGTTGCAGTGAGCCAAGATCATGCCATTGCACTCCAGCCTGGGCAACAAGAGTGAAACTCCATTTCAAAAAAATAAATAAATAAAAAATAAAAAACCAAACAAACAAAATTTACATTTAAAAAAATGTGGCATTAACCTATTAGTACAACAAGAGAAAGTAAAGTATAACCCAAGAAATTATTGAGGTAGGATGTGGTCATCAGTATGATTTGTGTTATGGCTTTCTGGCAAAGAGAAAATCCTTCACAAGTAGGAGGTGAAAATAGATATTTGAGTTAAAGAAGACAGGTATGTGCCATCTGGGAGACTGATATCCTGTGAAGGAACCAAGTCATTGAAACAGGTCACCAAAGCCTCAGTGAAGCTCACGCCGGCACTTTATTAGAATCTACCCAAATCGGAGACCCACTCTCATTTCCTGAATGAGAGCAAAGATTTGGAGTTAAGTTAGACCTTGCTTTTGAATCCTGGCTAAACATACTTTCATGAGCAAGTTATTTAATCTCAGCAAAGTCTCAGTCTCTCTATCTGCAAAACAGGCCTAAGAACCCTACGCTGCTGTGAAGATTAAATGAGAATTAAAGTAAAGCACTTAGTACAAAGTCACAGTATCATGATAGGTTAGTGGTTTCCTCTTGGAGGACAGAGATAACCTTTCACTAATGGAAAGATGCCTGATAACTCACCCTTTTAATCTTTATTTGTCCTGTTGGCTGGGTCTCACCCACATACTTGTATAAATTACGGTATTCAATACTTTTTAAAATCTCTCGTGCCGCCTTCAATTTGGGATCAGTAGAGTATAAAATCTCCAGAAAAATGTTATCTGCCAATTTGATGACATTTCAGTTATATTAAAATGAAAACACAGAGTTAAAGAGTTCTATAGTGCTATGCTACTGAAATGATCTTAACAGGCAGTTCACAAACGTAGGTACATTATTATTTTAGCAATATAAGAAAATGTTTTAAAAGACTTAAGTGAAAAAAACCATTTAAAATTGTTCCAGTTGGCCAGTCACAGTGGCTCTTTTTTTTTTTCTGAGATGGAGTCTCTCTGTTGCCAGGCTGGAGTGCAGTGACACAATCTTGGCTCACTGCAACCTCCACCTCCTGGGTTCAAGTGATTCTTTTGCCTCAGCCTCCCAAGTAGCTGGGACTACATGCGCACACCACCACACCTGGCTATTTTTTGTGGTTTTAGTAGAGATGGGGTTTCATCATATTGGCCAGGCTGGTCTCAAACTCCTGACCATGTGATCCATCCGCCTAGGCCTCCCAAAGTGCTGGGATTACGAGTGTGAGCCACCTGTAATTACAAGCGCCTGGCCTCTTTTTTTTTAAGGAGACAAGATCACGTTCTGTAGCCCAGGCTGAAGTACAGTGCCACTATCATAATTCACTGCAACATCAAAGTCCTGTGCTCAAGCAATCCTCCTGCCTTAGCCCAAGTAGCTGGAACTACAGATGTGCACCACCATACCTGGCTAAATTTTTTCTTTTTTAAACAGGGTCTCGCTCTGTCGTCAGGCTGGAGTGAAGTGGCACGTGATCATGGTTCACTGCATCCTTGACCTCCTGGGCTGAGGCAATCCTCATGCCTCAGCCTCCTGAGTAGCTGGGACTATAGGCACATGCCACCATGCCCAGCTGAACTAAAACATAGTTTAAATGTAAGTATAATTTGAAAAAATTAATCTTCCTGCCTCAGTCTCCTGAATAGCTAGGACTAAAGGCACATGTCACCACACCTAGATGAAGATGACTTTTAAAAATATGGCATTACTTGCTTTATTATGAAAATTAAAAGCAAATATCTTCAGCTTGTTCAATTTTTTCTTGACTTTTATTTTATTTATTTTATTTTTGAGATGATGTCTCGCTCTGTCATCCAGGCTTGATACCAGCTCACTGCAACCCCTATCTCCTGCTGATTCTTGCGCCTCAGCCTCAGTCTCAGTTGCTGGGACTACAGGCACCTGCCACTACACTCAGCTAATACTTTGTATTTTTAGTAGAGATGGGGGTTCACCACGTTGGTCAGGCTGGTCTTGAACTCCTGACCTCAAGTGATCCACCTGCCTCTCAGCTTCCCAAAGTGTTAGGATTACAGGCATGAGCCACCCTGCCTGGCCTTACATATATATTTTTAAAGAACAATGTAGCTGGGTGCAGTGGCTCATGCCTGTAATCCCAGCACTTTGGGAGGCCAAGGTGGGTGAATCACCTGAGGTTGGGAGCTTGAGACCAGCCTGACCAACACGGAAAAACCCCGTCTCTACTAAAAATATAAAAAATTAGCTGGGCATGGTGGCACATGCCTGTAATCCCAGCTACTTGGGAGGCTGAGGCAGGAGAATGGCTTGAACCTGGGAGGTGGAGGTTGCAGTGAGCTAAGATCACGCCATTGCACTCCAGCCTGGGCAACAAGAATGAAACTCTGTCTCAAAAACAAACAAACAAACAAACAAACAAAAAGCAATGTATATAGTTTTTATAATTTAATTTGTTCTCTATTATTATTATTTTTGATACAGAGTCTCACCCTATTGCCCAGGCTGGAATGCAGTGGTGCAATCTTGCCTCACTGCAACCCTGACCTCCTGGGCTGCAATGATCCCCCAGCCTCAGCGTCTTGAGTAGCTGGGACTACAGGCACACACTGCCATGGCTAATTTTTAAATTTTTTGTAGAAAAAGGGTTTCACTATGTTGCCCAGACTGGTCTCAAACTCCTGGGCTCAAGCGATCTGTCTGCCTTGTCTCCCAGAGTGCTGGGATTACAGACACAAGCTGCCTTGTCTGCCTATTATGTATCTTTTGATTAAATTTACTGAAATGTAATGTGAAGTCTGTCAAGTTGAATAATAAAAATTTGGGCTTGTATTTTACATGTCTTTTCCCCCCATTTCATTTTTCTAGTAATTCATTTTTATCATACTTTACAGAAATATCAATCTGTAAGGGTTGGTAATTTAAGAAACTGGCTCTACAAAGACAGTTTAGGAGGAGCTAGTTTAGGTTTCATTCAGTTAGTGTGCAACAAATAGAATCCAGCAGTGGTAGAACAGCAGCACTCTAGGCAGGAAGCTACAGTAGAATGATTTGGTCGTATCTTAGGTCATTTGGCTTCTGTTGTTTTCTCCATTTTCAGGGCCTCCAGCCTTTCCACTGATTTTGTAAGCTATAGGATTGCTTTCCAATTTAATTTTTATTTTTTGTTTATTGATTTATTTTTAAGACAGTGTTTTGCTCTGTTGCCCAGGCTGGAGTGCAGTGGTTGCATTGCCTTGGCTCAATGCAACCTCTGCCTCCTTGGTTCAAGTGATTCTCCTGCCTCAGCTTCCTGAGTAGCTGGGATTACAGGATGACAACACACCTGGCTAATTTTTGTATTTTTAGTAGAGATAGTGTTCTACCATTTTGGCCAGACTGGTCTCAAACTCCTGGCCTCAGGTAATCTGCTCATCTCAGCCTCCCAAAGTGCTGGGATTACAGGCGTGAGCCACTGCACCTGGCCTAATTTTATTTTTAGTTAAATGGTTTCATAATTTTTAAGTAAGAACTCTGACTGCTGTACAGTTTTTGTTCTACTTCTTTTGCTTTATCTCAGTCAATACTTTCCCACAATGAAGAACCACCCGTGGCACCTTTACCTCTCTTTCCTCCTTCCCACACTAAACTGAAGATTTTGTTTCTGCAAAAGTGTGGATTGATGTTCCTGGCATCTTGTGTTTTTGCAATGAAAATAATCTTAAATGGCCAAGTCAGTTTGTTGGTATTCAGGTATATTATAAGTTAAATAATGACAAGTCTGGGCAACATAGTGGGACTCTGTCTCTACAAAAGTTTAAAAAACTACCCAGGTGTGGTGGTATATGCCTATAGACCCAGCTACTTGGCTGAGGCTGAGGCAGGAGGATCACTTGAGCTCAGGAGGTTGAGGCACCAATAAGCTGTGATGGCACCACTGCACTCCAGCCTGGATGACAGAATAAGATCCTGTCTCCAAAAAATAAAAAAAATAAATAAGAATAAAAGTAAACACTTAAATAATGGGCCGGGTGCGGTGGCTCATGCCTATAATCCTAGCACTCTGGGAGGCCGAGGCAGGCAGATCACCTGAAGTCAGGAGTTCAAGACCAGCCTGGCCAATATGGTGAAACCCCCATCTCTACTAAAAATACAGAAATTAGTGGGACATGGTGGGCTATGCCTGTAATCCCAGCTATCCAGGAGGCTGAGGCAGGAGAATCACTGAAACCTGAGAGGTGGAGGCTATAGTGAGCCAAGATTGTGCCACTGCACTCCAACCTGAGCAACAGAGCAAGACTCCGTCTCAAAAAATAAAAGTTAAATAATGCATATTGAGTACTTATGTGTTAAGCCTATACTTGGTGCTATGCCTCGTTTAAACATCATGACCAACTATATGCCAGGTATCATTACCCTCATTTCATAGATGAGAGGTTCAGGTAGGTTAAATCACTCAGTCAAGGTCACTTTATCAGTACAAGACAGAAATAAAACTCAAATTCAAAAGGAGATAATTACTCGGGAAGCTAAAATACTTCCATCGGCTGGGTGCAGTGGCTCACACTTGTAATCCTAGCACTTTGAGAGGTCAAGGCAGGAGGATCACTTGAGCCCGGAGTTTGAGAGCAGCCCGAGCAATATAGTGAGACCCCTTCTTTATCTTTGCAAAATTAAATAATTATTTTTTAAAATGAAAAATAAAATAAAAAAAAATAACCTATTGGCAATTCAGAGACATCCTATCTCTACCTCAGTTTATCAGAGGTGGACCGTCTATGTTACTTGTTACTTCTTACCTGTCAGCTTAGTGTAGGCTTCCATGTCATCAATTGCTGTAGAAATGCAATACTTCTTTCCTTCAGTACCTGTAATCTCTATGTAGGGGTCCGCTTTGAGGAACGCATCTGTAATCCTAAAAATCATTTTGCAAAAATTGATACTTATGAGAAATTTTGAATATGTGTCTTATGTCTTGCTTAAGGAAATCTTTCTACTTTTGGGAAATAAAATAATGAGGCACAATGTTCTGAAGACAATCGCTTCTCAACCATACTAGCCATGTGCATGGTGGCCTGTGAGCTACCACGCTTACTGTGTTCCAGGCACCACGGCAGGGCTTTACAGGCATCATCTTCTTTAATCTTCCCAACAATAAGGTAGGGATATTCAGTTCCAATATATATGTATTTTTTCTTTTTTAGAGATGGGGTTTCACCATGTTGGCCAGTCTGGTCTCACACTCCTGACCTCAGGTGATCCAGCCGCCTCAGCCTCCCAAAGTGCTGGGATTATAGGCATGTGCCACTGCACCCGGCCCAGCCCCAATTTTATAGATACAGAAATGAAGTAAATTTTCATTTAACCAAGTTAGGAAGAAACAGTGCCAGTCTTTGAACTTAGATCTCTCTGAATTCAACAACAACAACTCTTACCAAAGTATTAACATATAAATAGGAGAATGTATTCCAAGTAATCTGCTCATGACAAAGGATAGGCGAAAAATAGGAATGAAGATAAATTTCCTCAACACAAATGTAAAAACAAAATGAAAGGTTAATCAATTTAAGGCTATTTTAGAGTCACGGAAGAAGTAACTTGACTCACACCCAGTGTTTGATAACTCCTCATGGAGTCTTTGAGTCATGTAGAGACCTGGCTGTACAGTTTTCTGCTACGGTTCTGACTGGGTCAGGAAGAGGTAAAATTCCTGTTGGTTTTACCATTTGGTACTATTTTTTATAAATATTTGACAGGATAGAATTAGACATTAATCTTAATCCTTAAAGTTTATTTTTGTAATTAATCTCAGAATTCAAATATTTGTGTCCTACCTCCCATTCTCCTGATGACTTTTACCTGGTATGTAAGTGACTACCTGTTCAGAGGTCCTGAGTGATCCCAGCACTGCTGCTTCATGTCTGGCCGAAGCCAGCTCTTCTTCATCTGCCCCTTTATCCATTTCCTTCCTTTTCCTCCAACTAAATTAACTTTATTCTAGAGTTTTTCTTTAAGGAAACCATTTTAGATTTACTCACTTAATATTCACTTGAACTTATCTAGAAATGTCAAGTTGAGCCTAGTATGATATTTTAGCAAAGTATCATGGAATATTTTATAGGGAAATGACCATCAAGTTTCTTACATTGTATCAATGATGTTGCCAACTTTGTGTTGATAAGCTCTACGGTGTAAACAGTTGCGAGTGTGGAACATGTCATACAGATTTCCAACTTCCTGCAGGAAAATATTAAATATTAATAGGATCAAATTACATTAACCTTATTAATAGACAAGTATATAGGACAAGGAAAAGGGATAGTGGCAGACAAGAGGGCTACGCATAGGGGCTACTTCATTAATACCTTCAAGCCTAATAAGAAATGAGGAGGCAGATTAGTAAAGCCATTTATTGGCTTGCAACTTTCATTCCTTTTTTTTTTTTTAAAGACAAGTTCTTTTAGGCTGGTATGAAGTCATCATCCCATCTCAACCTTGCTGGGACAATATGCATCAGCTATTGTGCTCGGCTAACTTTCATTCTGTTTTTTTTTTTTTTTGAGATACAGTTTTGTTCTGTTGCCCAGGCTGGAATGCAAGTCTTTCACTGCAAAAACTTTCATTCTTAATAAACTAGGCTGGGCACGGTGGCTCACACATGTAAATCCCAGCACTTTGGGAAGTCGAGGTGGGCAGATCACCTGAGGTCAGGAGTTCAAGTCCAGCCTGGCCAAAATGGTGAAACACCATCTCTACAAAAATACAAAAATTAGCTGGGCATGATGGCGGTTGCCTGTAATCCTAGCTACTGAGGAGGCAGGAGAATTGCTTGAACCCACGAGGCAGAGGTTGCAGTGAACAAAGATTGCACCATTGCACTCCAGCCTGGGCGACAGAGCGAGACTCTGTCTCGGAAACAAAAGCAAAAACAAAAACAAACTCCTAAAATCTACTATGTGCTCAAACTCTGTGACAGGTTCTGTTTTAGGCTTCTTAAATTATATATTTGAATCCTCCCAATAACTCTAGGAAATAGGTATTGTTATTCTTATGTTCTTCATTCTTGACTTTTTTTTTTTGAGACAATCTCACTCTGTCACCCAGGTTGGAGTGCAGTGGCACATAATCTCAGTTAACTGCAACCTCCACCTCCCTGGTTCAAGCAACTCTCATACCTCAGCCTCCCAAGTAGCTGGGAATACAGGTGTATGCCACCACGCCCGGCTAATTTTTGTATTTTCAGTAGAGACAGGGTTTCACATGTTGGCTGGGATGGACTCAAACTCATAAACTCAGTTGATCCACCTGCCTTGGCCTCACAAAGTACTGGGATTACAGGCATGAGCCACCACACTTAGCCATTCTTGACTTTCTTCAGTACAGTACTATACCACTTTTTGATTACATGGCTGCCATCTAACAGGGACCTACGGACTTCACTTGTTTAACCACAGCTGACCTTTAACAACACATGCTTGAAATGTGAGAGTTCAATTATACAGATTTTCTTGTCCTGCCACCACCTGAGACAGTAAGACCAAGGCCTCCTCTTCCTGAGCCTACTTAATGTGAGATGATATGGATGAAGACCTTTAGGATGACCACTTCCACTTAATGAATAGTAAACATACTTTCTTTGCCTTATGATTTTTTTCTTTTTCTTTTTTTTTTTGAGAAAGAGCCTTGCTCTGTCACCCAGGCTAGAGTGCAGTGGAGCAATCTTGGCTTACTGCAACCTCTGCCTCTGGGGTTCAAGTGATTCTCCTGCCTCAACCTCCCAAATAGCTGGGATTATAGGCAAGTGCCACTGTACCCAACTAATTTTTGTATTTTTAGTAGAAACGGAGTTTCACCATGGTGGCCAGCCTAGTCTCAAACTCCTAACCTCAAATGATCTGCCAGCCTTGACCTCCCAAAGTGCTAGGATTACAGGTGTGAGCCACTGTGCCTGGACGTGCCTTATGATTTTCTTAATAACGTTTCTCTAGCTTACTTTATTATAAGAATACAGCAGACTGGGCATAGTGGTTCACACATATGAGCACTTTGGGAGGCCAAGGAGGGTGAATTGCTTGAGGTCAGGAGTTTGAGACCAGGCTGGGCAACATAGCAAAACGCTGTCTCTACAAAAAAAATAAAATAGAAAAATTAGCTCAGTGTAGTGGCATGCACCTGTGGTCCCAGCTACTCAGGAAGCTGAAGTGAGAGATTTGCTTGAGCCTGGAAGGTGGAGGATGCAGTGAACTGAGATCATGCCACTATACTCCAGCCTGGGTGACAGAGTGAGATCCTGTATCAAAAAAAAAAAAAGAATATAGTATATGATACATGTACCATTCAAAATAGGCTGGATGCAGTGGCTCACACCTATAATCATAGCACTTTGGGAGGCTGAGGTAGGTGGGATGGGTTGCTTGAGTCCAGGAGTTTGAGTCCAGTTTGGGCAACATAATGAAACCCCACCTCTATAAAATTAATTGAAAAATTAACCAAGCATATGCCTGTAGTCCCAGCTACTCAGGAGGAAGAAAAGGGAAGATCAGTTGAGCCCAGGAAGTCAAGGCTACAGTGCACTCTGACAGTGCCACTGTACTCCAGCCTGAGTAATAGAGCAAGACTCTGTCTGGAAAGAAAACAAAAGACAAAATTTAAAAAACCATACAAAAGGTGTGTAATTTACCATTAAGTTTATCGATAAGGCTTCTGGTCAACAGGAGGCTATTAGTAAAGTTTTTGGGAAGTCAAAAGTTATACGCAGGCTGGGTGGAGTGGCTCATGCCTGTAATCCCAGCAGTGTAGGAGGCCAAAGAGGGTGGATTACTTGAGGTCAGGAGTTTGAGATCAGCTTGGCCACATGGTGAAACCCTGTTTCCACTGAAAATACAGAAATTATAGGCCGGGCGCAGTGGTTCATGTCTGTAATCCTAGCACTTTGGGAGGCTAAGGCAGGCGGATCATGAGGTTAAGAGATCGAGACCGTCCTGGCCAACATGGTGAAATCCCATCTCTACTAAAAATACAAAAATTAGCTGGGCATGGTGGCATACTCCTGCATTCTCAGCTACTTGGGAGGCTGAGGCAGGAAAATCGCTTGAACCCGGGAGGTAGAGGTGGCAGTGAGCCAAGATCATGCCACTGCACTCCAGCCTTACAACAGAGCAAGACATGGTCAACACACACACACACACACACACACACACACACACACAAAATTAGCCAGGCATCTGTAAACCCAGTTACTCCTGAGGCTGAGGCAGGAGAATCACTTGAACCGGGAGGCAGAAATAGCAGTGAGCAGAGATCGCGCCACTGCACCACAGCCTGGGTGACAGAGGGAGACTCTGTCTCAAAAAAGAAAAGTTATATACAGATTTTCCACTAGGAGAGGGGGCAACACCCCCTAAACACCATTTTGCTCAGGTGTCAACTACATAAAATTTTTCAACACTAATACAGTGATTAAAAAGGAGATTCTGAAACCAAACTTTCCGGGTTGAAATTCCAACTCTATCATTGTTAATTATATGCCTTCTCTGTGCCTTAATTTGCTCGCCTGTTGAATGGAAGAATATCTCACAGGATTTTAAGGATTGAGCTGATCCAACTGAAGCACTTAAAATAATGCCTTACACAAGCCAGGCATGATAGTGTGTACCTGTAGTCCTAACTACTTGGGAGGCTGAGGAAGGAGGATCACTTGAGCTCAGGAGTTCAAGACTGGCCTGGGCAACACAGTGAGATCCTATCTCAAAAAACAAAAAAACAAAAAGTAAACAACACATGATAGTGTGCACCTGTAGTTTCAGCCAAAAAACCCCCAAAACCAGTATCTAAATCAAAACTTAATAAATGTCCATTTTAATTTTATGACTTTTTAACAATGCAGTAGAAGTGAAGAGATTAAAGATATTTACAAATCCTAGGAATTAAGTAAAGAGATTGATGATTTACCAATTATTTCATATTGTTAAATGGTTCTTTGCAAATTTCAGACCAGAAACAACATTCTTCTTGCTGTTTCCTCTGACATAGCTTACCTTATCTCTAGTACAAATATGCAACTTGCTTTCTACTTCACAGACACGGGCAAACTTAATAAAACGCTTGTAATCAAAATTATTTTGGATTCCAAGATGATGGCAGTCCCTAGAAGGATTCCAAAGCAGAGAAATGCAATCTTTCAACATGGAAGTCATACCTTAAATAGTAATACTAAATTTATATAAAGATTTTAGCCAATTTTTCAGAAGTGTTTAGTGCATACCTGGCAAAATAATCCCACTTGTCCACATCAATGCCATTTCTTTTATTAGCCACTATCTCATAAAGGAAGCTTTTTTCTTTAGGACGCCCTTTATATGGCCACTGGAAGGCAAGAAAACCCACTGGAAGTTTTAGGATAGGCATCAAATCTATTTATAAGCAAAGTAAAGCAATTCTATTAATCTGTAAATTATAAACAGATATGAGATAAACTAGAAGGCTCTAATCTTTCCTTCTTCCACTTCATTTCTAAACCAGTAAAGAGGGAAAATAAATGCTAAGGTATATGATACCCTATTGTTACCACATTTTCTTGTGCCACTGAAAAGATCTTAACTCTATTACATTTCCCAAAACCAACAACTTTTGTATTTTCTTGGTTAATAAGCTTTTTAAAAATATAAAACCTAGGCCAGGTGTGGTGGCTCATGCCTGTAATCGTGGCACTTTGGGAGGCCAAGCCAGGTGGATCATGAAGTCAGGGGTTCGAGACCAGCTCTACTAAAAATACCAAAATTAGCCAGGTGTAGTTGCAGGGGCCTGTAGTCCCAGCTACTTGGGAGGCTGAGGCAGGAAAATCACCTGAACCCAGGAGGTGGAGGTTGCAGTGAGCCGAGATTGCGCCACTGCACTCTAGCCTGGGTGACAGAGCAAGACTCCATATTAAAAAAATTAAATTAGGGGGAGGACTCAAGATGGCGCTGTGAGAACAACCCAGGATTGAAGCTCTTGTTGAATCCGTGGAGAGGTGAGTCGGAGCTGCATTTCCAGACTGATCTTTGTTGCCCACAGAACGTGGAAATTCCCAAGTATAAAGGAGACGCAAGACGCCAGGCAGTACCTCTGCCTGGCGAAGCCGGGGGACAGTGCTCCCCACAGGGCGCGCTTGTCCGGGTGCCCTGTTGAACCGGCAACCTGAGACTTGAGAGGGCTGGACTTGAGACTGAACGAGACTTGGACAGTGGGCCAGCCCAGGGGATTGCAGGGACAGAGTGTTTGGGGTAGCCCAGTGGGATGGACAAAACCGCGATTCCAAATGCTCCCCGTGCAGACGGTCCGAGACGCTCTGTGGGGGAGGGGCGTCCACCATTACCGAGGCAACCCGCCCCAACTGAGATACACGCTCACTGCTGACGCAGCCAGCCGTTGCCGAGGCAACCCGTCCCTACTGAGATACAGGCCCACTGCTGACGCAGCCTGCCGTTGCCGAGGCAACCCGCTACAACAGAGAGACTCCACCGCAGGGCGTAGCCAGTGGCGGAGACCGCAGCAGAATAGCAGAGCCTGCAGCAACAGGGCGAACCACAGAACAGCAGGGCGGAGCCTCGGCAGGCAAACAGTGGCTAGGTCTGTCGCCTAGCTGGGCAGGACACCTCAACGGACATCCAAAAATAAAGCCCGAAACCCCCAACACAGAGCATTTGAGAAAAAAAGGGTTTTTTTAATGAGCTCTGTTGCAGCAGAATCAAACATAGCAGCCTAACAGCCCTGAATGAACAACAGAGCTCACAGCTCAGCAATTGAGCTCCTATAAAGTACAGACTGTCTCCTCAAGCAGCTCCCTGACCCCTCTATATCCAAAAGACTGACATTTGGCAGGCATCATCCTGGGACAAAGATAGCAGAAAAAGAAACTGGTAGCATCCCTCACTGTGCCACAGCTGCTAGAGGTGCACCCCAGACAAGCAGGGCCTGGAGTGGACCTCAGCAGTCGTACAGCAAAGGGGCTAGACTGGTAGAAGGAAAACCAAGCAACAGAAATACTTCATCATCAACAATCTGGGTGTCCACTCAGAGACCCAATCGAAAAGTCAGCAACTACGCAGACAACAAGCGGATAAATCCACAAAGATGGGAAGAAACCAGCGCAAAAAGGAGGAAAACACCCGAAACCAGAACACCTCGCCTCCTAGAAAGGACCAAAACTCCTCACCAGCAAGGGAACAAAGCTGGACGGAGAATGACTGTGATGAAATGACGGAATTAGACTTCAGAAAGAAATTTTTATGAGCTAAAAGAACATGTATTAAATCAATGCAAAGAAACTAAGGAACTTGAAAAAAGATATGAAAAAAGATTTGAGGAAATGATAATAAGAATGGATAACTTAGAGAGGAATATGAATGAATTAAAGGAGCTGAAAAACACAATGCGAGAACTTCGCGAAGCATGCACAAGTTTCAATAGCCGAATTGACCAAGCAGAAGAAAGAATATCTGAAGTCGAAGACCAACTCAATGAAATAAAACGAGAAACCAAGATTAGAGAAAAAAGCGCAAAAAGGAATGAACAAAGTCTCCAAGAAATGTGGGACTATGTGAAAAGACCTAACCTACGTTTGATAGGTGTACCAGAAGGGGACGAAGAGAATGAATCCAAGCTGGAAAATACTCTTCAGGACATTATCCAGGAAAACTTCCCCCACCTAGCAAGACAGGCCAACACTCAAATGCAGGAAATACAGAGAACACCACAAAGATATTCCGCAAGAAGAGCAACCCCAAGGCACATAATCGTCAGATTCAACAAGGTTGAAATAAAGGAGAAAATACTAAGGGCAGCCAGAGAGAAAGGTCGGGTCACCCACAAAGGGAAGCCCATCAGACTCACAGCAGATCTCTCGGCAGAAACTCTACAAGCCAGAAGAGAGTGGGGGCCAATATTCAACATTCTTAAAGGAAAGAACTTTCAACCCAGAATTTCATATCCAGCCAAACTGAGCTTCAGAAGTGAAGGAAAAATAAAATCCTTTGTGAACAAGCAAGTACTCAGAGATTTTGTCACCACCAGGCCTGCTTTACAAGAGCTCCTAAGAGAGGCACTACACATAGAAAGGAACAACCAGTACCAGCCATTCCAAAATCACACTAAATGCTAAAGAGCATCAACATAATGAAGAATCTACAACAACTAACAGGCAAAACAGCCACTTAGCATCAAAATGGCAATATCAAATTCACACATAACAATATTAACCCTAAATGTAAATGGACTAAATGCACCAATCAAAAGACACAGACTGGCAAATTGGATAAAAATCCAAAACCCATCAGGTGTGCTGTATCCAGGAAACCCATCTCACATGCAAGGATACACAAAGGCTCAAAATAAAGGGATGGAGGAAGATTTACCAAGCAAATGGATAGCAAAAAAAAGCAGGAGTTGCAATTCTCATCTCTGATAAAATAGACTTTAAAGCAACAAAGATCAAAAGAGACAAAGAAGGCCATTACATAATGGTAAAAGGATCAATACAACAAGAAGAGCTAACGATCCTGAACATATATGGACCCAATGCAGGAGCACCCAGATGCATAAGGCAAGTTCTTAATGACTTACAAAGAGACTTAAGACTCCCACACAATAATAGTGGGAGACTTTAACACTCCACTGTCAATATTAGACAGATCAACTGGACAGAAAATCAACAAGGATATCCAGGGCTTGAACTCAGACCTGGAGCAAGCAAACCTGGTAGACATTTACGGAACTCTCCACCCCAAATCCACAGAATACACATTCTTCTCAGCACCACATCACACCTACTCTAAAATTGACCACATAATTGGAAGTAAAGCACTGCTCAACAAATGCAAAACAATTGAAATCATAACAAACAGCCTCTCAGACCGTAGTGCAATCAAGTTAGAACTCAGAATACAGAAACCAACCCAGAACTGCACAGCTTCATGGAAACTGAACAACTGGCTCTTGAATGTTGACTGGGTAAACAATGAAATGAAGACACAAATAAAGAAGTTCTTCGAAACCAATGAGAACGAAGACACAACATGTCAGAACCTCTGGGACACATTTAAAGCAGTCTCTAGAGGAAAGTATATAGCAATAAGTGCCCATATGAGAAGAATGGAGAGATCCAAAATTGACACCCTATCATCAAAATTGAAAGAGCTGGAGGAGCAAGATAAAAAAAACTCAAAACCCAGCAGAAGACAAGAAATAACTAAGATCAGAGCTGAACTGAAGGAGATTGAGACACGAAAAACCCTTCAAAAAATCAATAAATCCAAGAGCTGGTTTTTTGAAAAGATCAACAAAATAGACCACTAGCCAGATTGATTAAAAATAAAAGAGAGAACAACCAAATAGATGCAATAAAAAATGATAAAGGGGAAATCACCACAGATTCCACAGAAATTCAAACCATCATCAGAGAATATTACAAACAACTCTATGCACATAAACTAGTAAACCTGGAAGAAATGGATAAATTCCTGGACTCCTGTGTCCTCCCAAGCCTAAACCAGGAGGAAGCTGAAACTATAAATAGACTAATAACAAGGTCAGAAGTCGAGGCAGCAATTAAGAGCCTACCACACAAAAAAAGCCCAGGTCCAGACGGGTTCACAGCCGAATTCTACCAGACACACAAAGAGGAGCTGGTACCATTCCTTCTAAAACTATTCCAAACAATCCAAAAAGAGGGAATCCTTCCCAAATCATTTTACGAGACCAACATCATTCTGATACCAAAACCCGGCAGAGACCCAACAAGAAAAGAAAACTTCAGGCCAATATCCATGATGAACATAGATGCAAAAATCTTCAATAAAATATTGGCAAGCCGATTGCAACAGCAAATCAAAAAACTTATTCATCATGATCAAGTAGGATTCATTCCGGGGATGCAAGGCTGGTTCAACATACGCAAGTCTATCAACGTAATTCACCACATAAACAGAACCAAAAACAAAAACCACATGATTATCTCAATTGACGCAGAGAAGGCATTTGACAAAATTCAACAGCCCTTTATGCTAAAAACCCTCAATAAACTCGGTATCGATGGAACGTATCTCAAAGTAATAAAAGCTATTTATGACAAACCAACAGCCAACATCGTACTGAATGGGCAAAAACTGGAAGCATTCCCTTTGAAATCTGGCACTAGACAAGGATGCCCTCTCTCACCACTCCTATTCAATATAGTACTGGAAGTTCTAGCCAGAGCAATCAGGCAAGAAAAAGAAATAAAGGGTATTCAAATAGGAAAGGTGGAAGCCAAATTGTCTCTATTTGCAGACGACATGATAGTATACCTAGAAGACCCCATCGCCTCAGCCCAAAAACTCCTGAAACTGATAAGCAACTTCAGCAAAGTCTCAGGATATAAAATCAATGTACAAAAATCACAAGCATTCGTCTACACCAATAACAGACTTAAAGAAAGCCAAATCAAGAACGAACTGCCATTCACAATTGCTACAAAAAGAATAAAATACCTTAGAATACAACTCACAAGGAACGTAAGGGACCTCTTTAAGGAGAACTACAAACCACTGCTCAACGAAATCAGAGGACACAAACAGATGGAGAAACATTCCATGTTCATGGTTAGGAAGAATTAATATCGTGAAAATGGCTATACTGCCCAAAGTAATTTACAGAATCAACGCTATCCCCAACAAGCTACCATTGACTTTCTTCACAGAACTGGAAAAAACCACCATGAACTTCATATGGAACCAAAAGAGAGCCCGCATAGCCAAGTCAATTCTAAGCAAAAAGAACACAGCGGGGGGCATCACACTACCGGATTTCAAACTATACTACAAGGCTATAGTAATCAAAACAGCATGGTACTGGTACCAAAACAGAGATATAGACCAATGGAACAAAACAGAGGCACCGGAGGCAACACAACTTATCTATAACTATATAATCTTTGATAAACCTGACAAAAACAAGCAATGGGGAAACGATTCCCTGATTAACAAATGGTGTTGGGAGAACTGGCTAGCCATGTGCAGAAAGCAGAAACTGGACCCCTTCCTGACACCTTACACTAAAATTAACTCCAGATGGATTAAAGACTTAAACATAAGACCTGGCACGATAAAAACCCTAGAAGGAAATCTAGGCAAAACTATCTAGGACATAGGAGTAGGCAAGGACTTCATGAACAAAACACCAGAAGCATTGGCAACAAAAGCCAAAACAGACAAATGGGACCTAATGAAACTCCACAGCTTCTGCACGGCAAAAGAAACAGTCACTAGAGTGAATCGGCAACCAACAGAATGGGAAAAAATTTTTGCAGTTTACCCATCTGACAAAGGGCTGATATCCAGAATTTACAAAGAACTCAAACAGATTTACAGGAAAAAAACAAACAAGCCCATTCAAAAGTGGGCAAAAGAAGACATATATGAGGCCAACAATCATATGAAAAAACGCTCATCGTCACTGGTCATCAGAGAGATGCAAATCAAAACCACATTGAGATACCATCTCACGCCAGTTAGAATGGCGATCATTAAAAAATCTGGAGACAACAGATGCTGGAGAGGATGTGGAGAAAAAGGAACACTTTTACACTGTTGGTGGGAGTGTAAATTAGTTCAACCATTGTGGAAGACAGTGTGGCGATTCCTCAAGGCCTTAGAAAGAGAAATTCCATTTGACCCAGCAATCCCATTACTGGGTATATATCCAAAGGACTATAAATCGTTCTACTATAAGGACACATGTACACGAATGTTCATTGCAGCACTGTTTACAATAGCAAAGACCTGGAATCAACCCAAATGCCCATTGATAATAGACTGGATTGGAAAAATGTGGCACATATACACCACGGAATATTATGCAGCAATCAGAAATGATGAATTTGTGTCGTTTGTAGGGACATGGATGAATCTGGAGAACGTCATCCTCAGCAAACTGACACAAGAACAGAAAATGAAACACTGCATATTCTCACTCATAGGCGGGTGATGAAAAATGAGAACACATGGACACAGAAAGGGGAGTACTAAACACTGGGGTCTACTGGGGGGAAAAGGGGAGGGCCAGTGGGAGAGGGAGGTGGGGAGGGATAGCCTGGGGAGAAATGCCAAATGTGGGTGAAGGGGAGAAGGGAAGCAAAGCACACTGCCATGTGTGTACCTACACAACTGTCTTGCATGCTCTGCTCATGTACCCCAAACCCTAAAATCCAATAAAAAATTAAAAAAAAAAAAAAGAATTTCAGTAACTGAAAAAAAAAAAAATTAAATTAAACTTTTAAAATATATACAATCTAGCTGGGTGCAGTGGCTCAAGCCTATAATCCCAGCACTCTGGGAGGCTGAGGTGGGTAAATCACGAGGTCAAGAGATCGAGACCATCCAGGTCAACACGGTAAAACCCAGTCTCTACTAAAAATACAAAAAATTAGCTGGGCATAGTGGTGCATGCCTATAATCCCAGCTACTCAGGAGGCTGAGGCAGGAGAATTGCCTGAACCCAGGAGGCGGAGGTTGCGGTGAGCCGAGATGCGCCATTGCACTCCAGCCTGGGTAACAAGAGCGAAACTTCATCTCAAAAAAAAAAAAAAAAAAAAATATATATATATATATATATATATATATATATATATATATATTTTTTTTTTTTCACACAATCTAATAAACTATTAATGCCTGATTTCATGCATTAAAACAGTACTATCTTTCAAAGTAGCTACACACCTAATCTAAATAATATACATTCTTCAAAGTATTCTTTGAGATTCATTTTTTTGGAAATAGGATATTTGCTACAAAACCCATCTCTTTATAAGTATACTTGTATATATTTGAGGTAAAAGCCCTAAAAGTCTCAGGGGAAAATTATTTTCCAACTTTATTTTTAATTAAAAAAAAAAAAAAAAAACCAAGAGATCAAAAAGGAAACAAAATAGATTCTCCATTGAACCAGTTCAACTTTTTTGTAGATCTTCTATATCTAAACATTTCAAATAAGATTTTTAAAAATTCAGAGACAGGATCTAGCTCTGTCACCCAGGCTGGAGTGCAGCTGCACAATCACAGCTCACTGCAGCCTGCCTTAGCCTCTGAAGCTGAAGACTACAGGCATGAGACAGGGTTTCAGTATGTTACCCAGGCTGATCTCAAACTCCTGGGCTCAAGTGATCCTCTTGCCTTGGCCTCCCAAAGTGCTGGGATTACAGGCATGAGCCACTGAGCCTGGCCAAATGTTTATTTTAATGGTTAAATGAAACACACACTTACATTCCAAACAAAGTTACTTTAGGATTCTATATAAAATAATGCAAGCCAGGTATGGTGGCTCACACCTGTAGTCCTAGCACGTTGGGAGGCTAAAGTGGAAGACTCACTTGAGCCCAGGAGTTCGAGACCAGCTTAGGCAACATAGTGTGACCACATCTCTAAGAAAAGTGGTTTTTCTTTTTTTTTTTTTTTTGAGACGGAGTTTTATTCTTGTTACCCAGGCTGGAGTGCAATGGCGCGATCTCGGCTCACCGCAACCTCCGCCTCCTGGGTTCAGGCAATTCTCCCGCCTCAGCCTCCTGAGTAGCTGGGATTACAGGCACGCACCACCATGCCCAGCTAATCTTTTGTATTTTCAGTAGAGACGGGGTTTCACCTTGTTGACCAGGATGGTCTTGATCTCTTGACCTCGTGATCCACCTGCCTCAGCCTCCCAAAGTGCTGGGATTACAGGCTTGAGCCACCGCGCCCAGTCCGATAAGTGTTTTTTAAATGAATAAAATACTGCATATATATTCACTAAAAAAGAACTTACGGCCGGCTGTGGTGTGACTCTGTCTCAAAAAAAAAAAAAATTTATGCTGAGCACAGTGGCTCACACCTGTAATCCCAGCATTTTCAGAGGCAGAGGTAGGTGGATCACTTGAGTTCAGGAGTTCAAGATCAGCCTGGGCAACATGACAAACCCCATCTCTACAAAAAATACAAAAGTTAGCTGGGCATGGTAGTGCATGTTTGTGGGTCAGCTACTCAGGAGGCTGAGGTGGGAGGATCACTTGGGCCTGGGAGGTAGAAGTTGCAGTGAGCTGAGACTGTCCCGTTGTATTCTAGCCCTGGTGACAGTGAGACCCTGTCTCAAAAAAAAAAAATTTTTCTATATATATTTTTTAGGAAGTAACTTCTAAATAATTCAGTTGAGAGGTAGAAAAAATATAAGCCTTTTATGGTTGCATTAAACAGTAGAAATATAGAACTCATATTTTATCATTTAGCCTCTAAAATAGCCAAATGTATAACTTGGAAGGAATCATGAAAAGGCGAGATGAAAACCACCAGTCAGTTAAAATTAAGTTGTACATAAACTTACCAAAGAATCTTTTTTGATAGGTGATTCAAGTGGTCCTGCAATTTGTTCCTTGATAAAGCAAATATCTTCTTCAGGGATGAGACCATAGTGTTCCATGACAGCCTTGAGTCCATTAGAATTAATTAGGTGCTCAAACATCTTAACTGAGCCTTGTTCATGCTAGGAAAAGTAAGCACAATATGATGTGTTATAGGTTCTGGTCCACTGAGGGCCCTGATTAACAAAATTATCTTCAATTCCAAGTAATTCTGAGATAAGGGTCTATTGCATATTAATTCTCTAGTTTCTAACCATAGTCTTAGGAACATTTTTAAAAACCTGTCAGATTTTTCACGATTTTACTAGTCTGCAAACTTTTTACAAATCGTATTATTTCATAAACATATTTAATGCACTTTATGATATAATATAGTACCTAAATGAATATTACAAGATCATGTAGATACAATTACATGTTAATAAATATCATAAAATTGAATTTTTTCATCAGCCTTTGAACATGTGCAGTTATAAACTGTTAGCACTGCCATCTAGTGGTGAAAAGGAGTAGCTGCAAACTTGCCAGTAAAAACAAAGATCTCAAATTGGCCTCAGTTTGCTTCTCTCTCTCTGCTCACTCATTCACAATCAATGTAAAGGAGCAAAAGAACCCCTGAAGACATCTGCCCTTTCCTAGGACCTACAAAAACTAAGATAAAAAACAAAACCTGAATTATCCTATATTCTTTTTTTTTTTTTTAAGAGATAGGGAATCTGTTGCCCTGGCTAGAGTGCAGTAAGGTGATCATGGGTGCACTGCAGCCTTGAACTCCTGGGCTCAAGCAATCCTCCCACTTCAGCCTCCCGAGTAGCTGGGAGCACAGGTGCACACCACCCCACCCACCTAATTTTTAAATTTTTTGTAGAGGCAGGGTCTTGCTTTGTTGCCCAGGTTGGTCTTGAACACCTAGGCTCAAGTAGTCTTCCTGCCTCAGCCTCCCAAAGTGGTAGGATTATAAGTGTCTCACCCTATAACTATTTCCACCCCCGCCCCCAGGAAACAATTCTTGCTCCAGAAACTACTCTTAAAAGCGGAATCAGGGTTGGGTATGGTGGCTCACACCTGTAATCCAAGCATTTTGGGAGGCCGAGGTGGGAGGATCTCTTTAAGGCAGCAGTTCAAGTTTGGCCAACATGGCAAAACCCCATCTCTGCTAAAAAATACAAAAATTAGCCAGGCATGGTGGCACACACCTATAATCCCAGCTACTTGGGAGGCTGAGGCAGGAGAATCACTTGAAACCAGGAGGCAGAGGTTGCAGTGAGCCAAATTTGCCCCGTACTCCAGCCTGGGCAGGCAATAGAGTGAGACTCTATCTCAAAGAAAATAAAAATAAAAATAAAAACACAAAAACCAAAACAGAATCAGGCTGGGTGCAGTGGCTCATATTTGTAATCCCTGCATTTTAGGAGGCAGAGGTGGGAGGACTGCTTGAGCCCAGGAGTTTGAGACCAGCTTGGGCAACAGAGGAAGACCCTGTCTCTAGAAAAAAATTTAAAAATTGGCTAGGTATAGTGGCATGCGCCTGTGGTCCCAGCTACTTGGGAGACTAAGGCGGGAGGATTGCTTGAGCCCAGGTGCTTGACACTGCAGTTAGCTGTCTTCAGGCCTGCACTCCAGCCTTGGCAACAGAGCAAGACCTTGTCTCTAAAAAAAAAAAAACACTGAATCAAGGTCTGTATGTATATATATATATATATACACACACACAAAGAGGAAAAATAGTAACTTCATAGTGGAGAAATTTGACAATGCCTTAACCAAGTAAGCAGAATTAATATCATTGGTATTGACTCAACTAGATTTTATGTGCCTCCTGAGATGATACACTATCAAGGATGTATCACTTTTTTTTTTTTGGAGACAGAGTCTAGCTCTGTCACCCAGGCTGCAGTGGCACGACCTTGGCTCACTGCAACCTCTATATCCCAGGTTCAAGCAATTCTCCTTCCTCAGCCTCTCAAGTAGGTGCATGCCACCACACCCAACTAATTTTTTTTTTGAGACGAAGTTTCACTCTTGTCCCCCAGGCTGGAATGAAATGGTGTGATCTCAGCCCATTGCAACCTCCACTTCTGAGGTTCAGGCGATTCTTCTGCCTCAGCCTCACGAGTAGCTGGGAATATAGGTGTATACCACCAACCTAATTTTTTTTTTTTTTTTTGAGAGGGAGTCTTGCTCTGTTGCCAGGCTGGAGGGCAGTAGCACCATCTTGGCTCACTGCAACCTCTGCCTCCTGGGTTCAAGTGATTCTTCTGCCTCAGCCTCCCAAGTAGCTGGGACCACAGGCACGTGCCACCACACCTGGCTGATTTTTGTAGTTTTAGTAGTGGCGGGGTTTCACTATGTTGGCCAGGATGGTCTCCATCTCTTGACCTTGTGATCCCCCTGCCTTGGCCTCCCAAAGTGCTGGGATGACATGCATGAGCCACCGTGTCTGGCCCCACCTAATTTTTATATTTTTAGTAGAGACAGGGTTTTGCCATGTTGGCTGGGCTGGTCTCAAACTCCTGACCTCAGGTGATCCATCCACCTCTTCCTCCCAAAGTGCTGGGATTACAGTGTAAGCCACAATGCCTGGCCTGGACACATCACTTTTGTGGCATTCTACCAAAAATACACAGCTTGAATCCATGAGAAAACATTACACTGAAACTCAAATTGAGGAACATTCCATAAAATAGCTCACTTGCTCTTTAAAGAAATGACAAAAGTTGGCCGGACGCGGTGGCTCATGCCTGTAATCCCAGCACTTTGGGAGGCCGAGGCGGGTGGATCACGAGGTCAAGAGATTGAGATCATCCTGGTCAACATGGTTGAAACTCCGTCTCTGCTAAAAATACAAAAAATTAGCTGGGCATGGTGGTGCGTGCCTGTAATCCCAGCTACTCGGGAGGCTGAGGCAGGAGAATTGCCTGAACCCAGGAGGTGGAGGTTGCGGCGAGCCGAGATCGCTCCATTGCACTACAGCCTAAGTAACAAGAGTGAAACTCCATCTCAAAAAAAAAAAAGAAAAAAAGAAAATGACAAAGTCACCAAAGATAAAGACTGAAGAATTGTTCCCGATCAAAAAATGGCAAGTAAATGAAATGTATAATTCTGGACCAGGGAAAAAAGTTTGTTTCCCCTTTTTCTACATGGACAATTGGTAAAATGTGAAAGTCTGAATTAGATAAGAGTACTGCATCAACATTTACTGATTTTTATAATTACACTATGGTTATATAAGAAATTTTTTTTTTTTTTTGAGGTGGAGTTTCGCTCTTGTTACCCAGGCTGGAGTGCAATGGCGCGATCTTGGCTCACGGCAACCTCCACCTCCTGGGTTCAGGCAATTCTCCTGCCGAGTAGCTGGGATTACAGGCACGCACTATCATGCCCAGCTAATTTTTTGTATTTTTTTAGTAGAGACGGGGTTTCACCATGTTGACCAGATGGTCTCGATCTCTTGACCTTGTGATCCACCCGCCTTGGCCTCCCAAAGTGCTGGGATTACAGGCGTGAGCCACCGCGCCTGGCCCAAGAAAATGTTTTTGTTTTTTTTTTAGGAAATACACACTGAAGTATTTAGAAATAAAGTATTTCAACAATTTAAGTTTCTTTCTTTTTAATTTTTAAGACGGAGTCTTGCTCTGTTGCCAGGCAGGATTACAGTGGCGAGATGCCCACTCACTGCAACATCCGTTTTCTGGTTTCAAGCAATTATCCTGCCTCAGCCTTCCAAGTAGCTGGGACTACAGGGGCGTGCCACCACGCCCGGCTGTTTTTTGTATTTTTAGTTGAGATGGGGTTTCACTGTGTTAGCCAGGATGGCCTTAATCTACTGACCTTATGATCTACCTGCCTCGGCCTCCCGAAGTGAACCGGGGGTTGATCCCAAAGAGGAGGTGATCACAAAAGTTATCAGGAATGTTCACTGGGTTACATAAATAACGCTAGTTGGTGACTGGCCACATATTGTTGAACTACGGGGTGTACGGCATTTGATGGTTACCTGGCATCCCACCTAGCAGCTGGCTTCAAGAGGTAATAATTATTTAGCTCAAGGGAGAGTGACGTGATTGCTGTTCTATTTCAATGCCTCTCTGGGCCTGATAATGTAAAGGGGCTCATATTTCTGATAAAAATTTTTTTTTTCTTTCCCAAGTAACAAGTGTGAAAACAGAACAGAATGCATAATGATTCATCACATATGAGAAGTTAATAAATGTTGGAGTTGGTATTAGTCAGTTGGGATAGGATGAACTATTTGAAAATTTGATTTCTCCCATATACTTACACAAAAATAAATTGTACATGAGCTACGGATTTAAATGTAAAAGGCAAAATACTTAAAGGAAAAGACTTGGTAATGATTAAGTAGATCCTATTAGATCAACTGCAGCTATAAGCTCTGGACAACTCCCTGAGGGTCCTGGAGAGCAACCAAAACCAAGCGGATGATAGACATCAATGCTTAGAAGGGAGAGGTACTGAGCGACATTACAGTTTTATGGTATTTAGCCTGAGGGCAGGCCCAGGACAGAAAAACTGGTGAGAAAGTATCCATTTTACTGGCTTGATGAACCAGAGTACTTCATCAAAATTTAAAATGTCTGTTTTTCAGAAGGCACCATTAAAAATGAAGTGGCAAGCCAGACACTGGGGAAGAATATTCACAATACATTTACTTAACAATATATATATAAGGAACTCCTGGCCTGGCACAGTGGCTCACACCTGTAATTCCAGCATTTCAGGAGGCAGAGGCAGGTGGATCATGAATGAGGTCAGGGGTTCAAGACCAGCCTGGCCAACATAGTGAAACCCCATCTCTACCAAAAATAGAAATTTGCAGGACAATCACCTGCAAATGCCTAATTTTAAAGTGGTTCATTTAATATACATGACTTAGCTGGTAACAGTTAGTTCATGGTCATATCAAATGTGTCAAGGAGTTGGCCTTTTATTTCTTTATTATATAATAGTACAATGGAGTAGAAGGAACATTAAACTGGCAACTGGCTTTCTATTGCTGATTCCAGTATTTAACAGCTTTGTGATTTTTGACGCATCAATACACTTGCAAGAGTTTCAAGTTCCTTTATTTGTAAAAAGGGAGATAGGCCGGGAACGGTGGCTCACATCTGTAATTCCAGCATGTTGGGAGGCCAAGGCGGGCAGATCATGAAGTCAAGAGATCAAGACCATCCTGGCCAACATGGTAAAACCCCATATCTACTAAAAATACAAAAATTAGCTGGCTGTGGTGGCACGCACCTGTAGTTCCAGCTACTCGGGAGGCTGAAACAGGAGAATCACTTGAACCGGGTGGCAGAGGTTGCAGTGAGCTGAGATTACATTACTGCACTCCAGCCTGGTGACAGAGCAAGACTCCATCTCAAAAAAAAAAAAAGGAGATAATAACTTCCTTACAGACTACTGTGAGGATCAAACCAAAACATATATATATATACGTGTGTGTGTGTGTGTGTGTGTGTGTGTGTGAATTAAAGCACCCTGGACACTATAATGGGAAAATATTCTCTAACACAGTAGTAGAACCAAACAGATAAATTAACTAAATAACCTGCTTAAATAGTCTTTCTTTTATTAACTATTGAATGTATGAATACATACTGTCCATTTCACCTCCGGGCGAGCAAGTGGAATAAATCGTCCATCAAACATGTGAGAAAATGGCCCATGACCTTAAAAACAAAAGCAGCCTTAGAATAAGAACATCTGTAAATCAACAAAAACTGAATTTTTCTTTTTTTTTTTTGAGACAGTTTCACTCTTGTTGCCCAGGCTGGAGTGCAATGGTACGATCTTGGGTTACCACAACCTCTGCTTCCCGGGTTCAAGCAATTCTCCTGCCTCAGTCTCCCAAGTAGCTGGGATTACAGGCATATACCCGGTTAATTTTCTATTTTTAGTAGAGACAGGGTTTTACCATGTTGGTCAGGCTGGTCTCGAACTCCTGACCTCAGGGGATCTGCCCACCTTGGCCTCCCAAAGCGCTGGGATTACAGGCACAAGCCACTGCGCCCAGCCAAAAACTAAATTATTTAATCTTTTTAGTTTAACTTGAATAGCAACAGAAATTAATAATCTAAAAATACAATCACAAAAAGGGACAAATCCTTCCTTCCTATTTCTAAAACAAGAGAACAGGAAGCAGAAACATATGGAAAAGTAAGCTCTCCATCAAGTGGTCTCCAGTCACCAGGGCTTACCTAAGTTGATAAAAGGGCAGTTTTGTTTGTTTTTTCGAAGAGACAGAGTCTTACTATGTTGTTCAGGCTGGAGTGCAGTGGCTACTCACAAGCATGATCATTATGCACTATAGCCTTAAATTCCTGACCTCAAGTCATCCTGCCTCAGCCACCTGAATAGCTGGGACTACAGGCATGCACCACCATGCAGGGCTTGATAAATGGATAATTTTGTGTAACTAAAAAGAATGTTAATGCCAAAAACTTTTTTGAAATCTTCAGATTGAAAATATTTGGATTAAAATGACAATTTTAAGAAAATCCACTGGGGCCAGGTATGGTGGCTTATGCCAGTAATCCCAGCACTTTGGGAGGCCGAGGCGGGTGGATCACTTGAAGTCAGGAGTTTGAGACCAGCCTGGCCAACATGATAAAAACCCTGTCTCTACTAAAAAACAAAAATTAGGGCATGGTGGCGGCTGCCCATAATCCCGGCTACTCAGAAGGCTGAGGCACGAGAATCTTTTGAATCCAGCAGGCAGAGGTTGCAGTGAGCTGAGAATAAGCCACTGCACTCCAGCCTGGGCAACAGAGCGAGGCAAGACTGTCTCAAAAAAGAAAATAAAACTTGTAGTAAAGATGTTTAACATGAGAAATTCACTGAAAGATGCCAAGAAAATTAAATAGCAATGTTTTGTACTTATGAATTGTTCTAGGAAGAAGCAACGGTACATTTATACTAATGTCAATTGATGAATTAAAATACAATTTCCATATTCTCTTGGTTGATCTGCTTTTTTAATGTGAAAGAGAGGTAACAATGTTATGATTTTACATAACAACTTTGGCTTTTTGTACAGCTTACCAAGATCATGACAAAGCCCAGCAATCTGAACACAGAGCATATCTCGTTCACTTATCTGCAGCTCTGGTTGTTTTTCACAAAGTGCTCGAACTAGACATCCTGCCAAATACCCCACCCTGCAGAGCAAAAACACAAAAAGTCACTCTTCCGTTTGAAAGAGGAGTGTTATTTCTGGTCCTCAAGACCTTTAGCATGTTTCCTCAAACATTCTAACATATATAGGGCTACTTTACCGAACAGTCTATTTCAGAACTAGGCAGGAACACACACAAACAGAATCCCAAAAGCAGGACCTCTGACTCAATATCACCAATCATTAGAGGAATGCCAATTGAAACCACAGTGAGATACCACTTCACACCCCTTAGGATAGGTACTGTTAAAAAAAGAAAACTAAAAATAGCAAAAATATCAAGTGTTGGCCATGATGTAGAGAAATTGGAACCCTGTGTACTGTTAGTGGGAATGTATTATGGTACAGCTGCTATGGGAAACAGTATGGGTACTCCACAAAAATAAAAAATGGAATTACCACAGTGATTTAGAAATTTCACTTTTGTGTATATACCCATAATAACTGAAAGTAGGGTCTTGAAAAGATTGCCTGGGCTCAGTAGCTTACACCTGTAATCCCAGCACTTGGAGAGGCTGAGGCAGGCGGATCACTTGAGGTCAGGAGTTTTGAGACCAGCCTGGCCAACATGTTGAAACCCCATCTCTACTAAAAAGTACAAAAATTAGCTTGGCGTGCTGGTGGGCACCTGCAATCCTAGCTACTTGGGAGGCTGAGGCAGAAGAATCGCTTGAACCCAGGAGGCAGAGGTTGCAGTAAGCCGAGATTGCACTACTGCAATCCAGCCAGGGCAAAAGAGGAAGACTGTCTCAAAAAAGAAAAGAGTGGGCGGGTGCAGTGGCTCAAACCTGTAATCCCAGCACTTTGGGAGGCCGAGGCGGGTGGATCACGAGGTTAAGAGATCGAGACCATCCTAGTCAACATGGTGAAACCCCGTCTCTACTAAAAATACAAAAAATCAGCGGGGCATGGTGGCGCGTGCCTGTAATCCCAGCTACTCAGGAGGCTGAGGCAGAGGAAGTGCCTGAACCCAGGAGGCAGAGGTTGCGGTGAGCCGAGATCGCGCCATTGCACTCCAGCCTGGGTAACAAGAATGAAATTCCATCTCAAAAAAAAGGAAAAGAAAAGAAAAGAACAGATATTCGCATAGACATGTTCATAGCAGCACTACTCAAAATAGCCAAGAGCTGAAAGGAGCAGGTATTCATCCACGAATGAACATTTAAACAAAATGCAATATGTACATATGATAAAATATTATTCAGCCTTAAAAAGTAAGAAAATACTGACACATGCTGCAACATAGATGAACCTTGAGGAAATTATGCTAAGTGAAATAAGCCAGTGACAAAAAGACAAATACTGTATGATTTCACTAAGATGAGATACCTAGAGTAGTCAAATTCATAAATAGAAAGTAGAATGGTAGTTACTAGGGAGCTGCAGGGAGGGGGATGTGAAGAGTGAAGAGTTGTTGTTTAATACATATAAACAGTTTAGGGTTTGTTTTTATTTTTGAGACAGAGTCTTGCTGTGTTGCCCAGGTTGGAGTCAAGTGGCCTAATCTCAGCTCACTGCAACCTCGGGAGTAGGTGAAATTATAGGCGCACGACACCATGCCTGGCTGTTTTTTAATTTTTAGTAGAGGCGGAGTTTTACCATGTTGCCCAGGCTGACCTTGAACTCCTGACCTTAGGTTATCTGCTGGCCTCGGCCTCCCAAAGTGCTGGAATTACAGGTGCGAGCCACCATGCCTGGCAAATTTCAGTTTTGTAAGATGAAGAGTTTTGGCAATTGATTTGTTGCAAAATGTGAATGCATTTAACCTTACTAAACTGTACACTTAAAAACAGTTAAGACCATATATTTTCTATTCTGTGTATTTTTTTTTTTTAAGACAGTCTTACTCTGTCTCCCAGGCTGGAATGCAATGGTGTGGTCTCAGCTCACTGCAACCTCTACCTCCCAGATTCAAGCAATTCTCCTGCCTCAGTCTCCCAAGTAGCTGGGACTACAGGCACATGCCACCACACCCAGCTAATTTTTGTATTTTTAGTAGAGACAGGGTTTCACTATGTTGGTCAGGCTGGTCCCAAACCCCTGACCTCGTGATCCGCCAGTCTCGGCCTCCCAAAGTGTTAGGATTACAGGCATGAGCCACTGTGCCCAGCCTTATTCTGTGTATTTTACCACAATTTTTTTTTAAGTAGGAATATCTGGCTTCGTAATGTTTACAAAATAGACTGGAGACGAAGTGCTCAAATGCACTTTCAGCACTTCCATCTGAGTCATTCCTAAATAAATACAGTATCATTCTTTTCCCCTGAACTCTGACAACTGTTATATTTTTGTGTTTGGTAGGCCTTAGTAAGTATTGGATAAATATTTGTTAATGAATGAACATGTGAGTATAGACACGTGTTTTGGCTAACTAAAAATGCTTCCACACAAAAAAACCAAAGTAATACACTGTGAGTACTTCACGAAAATCTGGAAGACTGTCTGTTCTTCCCTGTCCACTTCCTCCTGGCTCTACACTGAATAGTGGAAAAGCAGACCCAAGTCTCAGCTTGTAGAGGCACCACCTTTTCTAAAATTATGAATGCTTTTTTAACTTACACATTTCCTGATAGGTAACAAAATGATCTGATTTGAAAAAGCAATTATGTACCAGGGTACACAGAGAATACAGAAAATTAAATAATCAAATATATATAATTAGTCGTATCAGTAACCAACTCTATTAGCTTTTTTTTTTTTTGAGACGGAGTCTCACTCTTGCCCAGGTTCGAGTGCAACGGTGCTATCACAGTTCACTGCAACCTCCGCCTCCCTGGTTCAAGCCATTCTCTTGCCTCAGCCTCCTGAGTGGCTGGGATTGCAGGCATGCGCCACTATGCTGGCTAATTTTTGTATTTTCAGTAGAGACGGGTGTTTTACCATGTTGGTTAGGCTGGTCTCACGACCTCAAGTGATCCACCTGCCTGTCCTCCCAAAGTACTGGGATTGGCCGGGCATGGTGGCTTACACCTATAATCTCAGGACTTTGGGAGGCTGAGGTGGGTGGATCCTGAGGTCAAGAGATCAAGATCATCCTGGCCAACATGGTGAAACCCTATCTCTAAAAATACAATAATTAGCTGGGCGCGGTGGTGGGTGCCTGTAATCCCAGCTACTCGGGAAGTTGAGGCAGGAGAATCCCATGAACCTGGGAGGTAGAGGTTGCAGTGAGTCGAGATTGTGCCACTGCACTCGAGCCTGAGTGACAGAGTGAGACTCTGTCACAAAAAAAAAAAAAAAAAAAAGTGGGCCAGGCACGGCGGCTCACGCCTGTAATCCCAGCACTTTTGGGAGGCCAAGGCAGGTGGATCACAAGGTCAAGAGATCGAGACCATCCTGGTCAACATGGTGAAACCCCCGTCTCTACTAAAAATACAAAAAATTAGCTGGGCATGGTGGCGCACGCCTGTAATCCTAGCTACTCAGGAGGCTGAGGCAGGAGAATTGCTTGAACCCAGGAGGCAGAGGTTGTGGTAAGCTGAGATCGTGCCATTGCACTCCAGCCTGGGTAACAAGAGCGAAACTCCTTCTCAAAACAAAACAAAAGAATACATAAAATAATTAAAATGCAACAAGGTAAATAAAAAGCCCCAATTTTCTCACCAATGAAATCAGGACATTACCATCATTTTGTAAAACTATTTATTCTTTAAAAGATTAAGACAGGGCCGGGTGCAGTGACTCATCCCTGTAATTACAGTACCTTAGGAGGCCAAGGCAGGTGGATCACCTGAGGTCAGGAGTTTGAGACCAGCCTGGCCAACATGGAGAAACCCCATGTCTACTAAAAATACAGAAACCAACTGGGTGTGGTGGTGGGCACCTGTAATCCCAGCTACTTGGGAGGCTGAGGCAGGAGAATTGCTTGAACCTGGTAGGAGGAGGCTGTAGTGAGCCAAGATAGCGCCACTGCACTCCAGCCTGTGTGACAAAGTGAGACTTCATTTTGAAAAAAAAAAAAAAAAATTAAGACAACTATTTCCTGTTTTCTCTTTCTTTCTTTTTTTTTTTGAGATAGAGTTTTGTTCTTGTCGCCCAGGCTGGAGTGCAATGATGCAATCTCAGCTCACTACAATCTCTGCTTCCTGGGTTCAAGTGATCCTCCTGCCTCAGCTTTTCAAGTAGCTGGAATTACAGGCATGTACCACCATGCCTGGCTGATTCTGTATTTTTAGTAGAGACGGGGTTTCACCATACTGGCCAGGCTGGTCTTGAACTCCTGACCTCAGGTGATCCTCTCGCCTTGGCCTCCCAAAGTGCTAGGATTATAGGCGTGAGTTACCATGCCTGATATGAGACAACTATCTCATGAGACAGAGAAAATACTTAAAAACTGCAAGTTCCCCACCCCATTCCCTTCTTACCCTAGACTATGCTCAAATCGATTGTGTGAAGCTCCTGGAAAAACATAATAACCACCTCCCAGCTGTTTGATATATCGAAGACGTTGAAATTGAGGCGTATCAATGATTCGGATGAGGAGAGGGTGGAGCTCAATGTGGCCATGGATAGGATCATTAATTACCTAGAAAAGTATGTTTAATTAACATGAGTAACAACATAAGTCCACCTGAAGTTTTTGTGCAGCCATTCCTAACTATAGAGCAAAGTCAAAGCTATTTAATTTTTCAAGTAAAAATACTAAGGGATTCTACACAAGCGGAGTCCAAAAAAAAAAAAAAAAGATAAAAAAATACTAAGGGAAATGACGAGATATTAACATCATTACCTTATTTACATATCACTACCAGACAGATCAAGTATATTGGATCTGAGTATATTTTACTTCTTAATGGATTCTAATAACAGAAAAATAAGGATTTCAATCTTTTTATTATGTATATGACTTAATTAGTCTTTAATAAGTTTGTCTTATATACAACTTAAACATACATATTCATTTCTATTTAAACACATTTATTCACATCATGTAAGCCATATCACTATAGGCAGTATGTCTAAACTTTTTTTTTTTGAGATAGAATCTCACTCTGTCCCAACCAGGCTGGAGTGCAGTGACACAATCTTGGCTCACTGCAACCTCAGCCTCCCAGGTTCAAACTATTCTCCTGCCTCAGCCTCCTGAGTAACTGGGAATACAGGCATGTGCCACCACGCCCAGCTAATTTTTGTATTTTCAGTAGAGACAGGGTTTTATCATGTTGGCCAGGCTAGTCTCAAACTCCTGACCTCAAGTGATCTACCCACTTCAGCCTCCCAAAATGCTGGGATCATGAGCCATCTCACCCAGCCTATTTTTTTTTTTTCTAAATGTATCTATACAGTACTCATCATTAAAATAGGAAGGAAAGAAGGAAGGGAGGCAAAGAAAGAAAGATGGAAATTCTTCTACCATATAGATAAGAAATCATACAGGTACGAGTGCAGTGGCTCACATCTGTAATCCCAACACTGAGGAGGCCAAGAGTTTGAGACCAGCCTAGGCAACATAGTGAGACCCCATCTCTAAAAAAAAAAAAAAAAAAAAAAAAAAAGATAAAGTGGCGCACATCTGTAGTCCTAGGTCCTCCAGAGACTGAGGTAGGAAGATTCTTTAAGCCCCAGGGGATCAAGGCTGCAGTAAGCTATTATTGTGCACAACACTTCAGCATGGGGTAACAGAGAGAAACTCTGTCTCCAAAAGAGAAGAAAAAAAGAAAGAAAATAATTTTGTAACACTGAACAATGTGTTTGTGTGTGTGAGTATTGCTTTTGTTTTGTTTTTGTTAGAGACAGGGTCTTGCTTTCTCACCAGGTTGCAGTACTTTGGCTATTCACAGGCACAATCATAGCTTACTGTAGCCTCAAACTCCAAGGCTCAAGGGATCCTCTTGCCTCAGCTTCCCACATAGCTGGGACTACAGGCATGTACCATCATGCCTAGCTAATTTGTTTTTTTTCTTGCGGGAGACAAGATCTTGCTATATTGCCCAGGCTGGTCTCCAACTTCTGGCTTCAAGCAATCATTGTACCTTTGGCTTCCCAAAGGGCTTTTCTTTGTTTTAATCATTTTTACCACAGTTATAATCTGCCTTTTCTAAGTTTAGTTATACCAATACTAACCACTGTGTTACAACTGCCTACAGCAGAAGACTATTCATCCTAGACTCTAATCCTAGGTAAGTATTTTGTTTTGTAACACACAAATACTTACCTAGGATTAGAGTCTAGGATCAGTAGGCTCCTGCTGTAGGCAACTGTAACACAGTGGTATTTGTATATCTAAACTTAGAAAAGGCAGAGTATAACTATGGTAAAATGATTTTTTTTAAGCCCTTTGGGAGGCCACAGGGGCAATGATTGCTTGAGGCCAGCAGCTGAGACCAGCCTGGAGTGTAGGAGCAATACACTCTATTACATAGCCTAGGTATGTAGAAGGCTATACCATCTAGGTTTGTGTAAACACACTCTGTGTTCCCATAATGATGAAACTGCTTAATGACACATTTCTCAGAATGTATCCTCATCATTAAGCAGCAGATGTCTACAGCTCAATTCAACTTGGGTGTTGACAGCGTGAGTCAAGTAATGACTAGAATTTACAACTCTGTTAAACAATAGGTATGTATGTTAACATATAACAGAGAGACATATGGTTGATATTTGGTGATTATTATTTTTTCATCCTGCTATAAAACCACTTTATTATATTAATAAAATATATCAAGTTTAGTCATTTGGAATCTTATACCACAAATGAGGTCAAAGTATCTCAGGAATAGAAGAAATCATGAATGCCATAATTTAACTATGTAAATATTCTTATCAAAAAAGAAAAACTTTGCAATCTTTAAATATCTGAAAATCAAATACTGGTGGCTGGGTGCAGTGGCTCACTCCTATTAATCCCAGCACTTTGGGACAACGGGGTAGGCAGATCACTTGAGGTCAAGAGTTTGGAGTTTGACACCAGCATGGCCAAACTAGTGAAACCCCATCTCTACTAAAAATACAAAAATTAGCTGGGAGTGGTGGCACATGCCTGTAGTTCCAGCTACTTGGAAGCCTGAGGCAGGAGAATCACTTGGACCTGGAAAGTGGAGATTGCAGTGAGCCAAGATTGTGCCACTGCACTCCTGCCTGGGCAACAGAACAAAACTTAGTCTGAAAAAAAAAAAAAAAGATTCACTGATACATTTTTTTCTTTCTTTTTTTTCATTGGTAACATTTGAAAAATTAGTCCTTGTTATGTCAAACACTGAACTTCCTCTTCACCATTACACAATCTCAGCTTCAGAGGCCACCTATACTAAATTTAGCATGAAGTACTACTCTATGTCAAGAACAAAACATGGTGACCTTGGATTTGGCAATGGTTTTCTAAATACAATACTAAAAGTACAAGACACAAAGGAACAAAATATATATATACTGGAATACATAAAAATTTAAAACTTTTGTAATCCGAAGAGCACCACCAAGAAAGTAAAAAGACAACCCACAGATTAGGAAAAAATATTTGTGTATCATAGCTCCCATAAGGATTTACATCCAGAACGTATAAAGAGCTCTTACAACTCAAATCAAATTGTGTGTGATTGAACAAAACTGTGAATTTCCTAAAAAACACTGTCTTACATACTAAAAATGAGTGAATCATAAGTCTTGTTAATTATATCTTAATAAAGCTATTTATGTTTTAAGTATCAAATGAGGGTAGAAATCCTTGAGGACTGTAATTGAGTAGTGAACTAGGTCAATTCTTTGTTGAACTGCTCTGCTAACGAAGTTAAATTTGTTTAAGGTATTGATTTCATTACTAGGCAGTGATTGAGTAGTTTGAAAATCTATTTCCAACAACGTCCTTTATAATTTATAAATGAGATTAAACAATTTTTTTTTTGAGACAGGGTCTCACCCTGTTGCCCAGGCTAGAGTGCAGTGGTGTAATTACAGTTCAGTGAAGCCTCAAACTCCACGGGCTCAGGTGATTTTACTAAATCAGCCTCCCAAATAGCTGGGACTATAGGTGTGCACCATCACTGGCTAATTTTTCTATTGTTTGCAGATGGAGTTTTGTTGTGTTGCCCAGGCTGGTCTTGAACTGAAGAGCTAAAGTGATCCACTCACCTCAGCCTCCCCAACTGCTGGGACTGCAGGTATAAGGCACCACGCCTAGCCAATAATGTTGTTTTTAAGGAAAAACAGAAAAAAAAAAAGTGGGCAACTGAAACCCTGACTACCTTAAATATTATTTCAAAAATATCTTACTGGCGGGGCATGGTGGCTCACGTCTGTAATCCCAGCACTTTGGAAGGCCAAGGCAGGCGTATCACAAGGTCAGGAGTTCATCATCAGCCTGGCCAAAATAGTGAAAACTCAACTCTATTAAAAATAAAAAAATTAGCTGGGTGTGGTGGTATACACCTGTAATCCTAATCCCAGCTACTCAGGAGGTGTAAACAGGAGAATTGCTTGAATCGGAAAGGTGGAGGTTGCAGTGAGCCAAGATCTTACCATTGCACTCCAGCCTGGGGACAAAGCCAGATTCCATCACAAAAAAGTAATTAAAAAAAGAATCTTGGCTGGGTGTAGTGGCTCATGCCTGTAATCCCAGCACTTTGGGAGGCCGAGGTGGGTAGATCACGAGGTTAGGAATTCAAGCCCAGCCTGGCCAAGATGGTGAAATCCCATCTCTATTAAAAACACAAAAATTAGCCTGGCAAGGTGGCAGGTGCCTGTAATCCCAGCTATTTGGGAGGCCGAGGCAGGAGAATTGCTTGAACCTGGGCAGCAGAGGTTGCAGTGAGCCAAGATTGTACCACTGCACTCCAGCCTGGGCAACAGAGCGAGACTCCAACTAAAAAAAAAACTCTTATTGCTGCTAATGGTAATTGTGAAAATGTGATTGCAGAGATTTCCTGAGATTATCTGACCTAATGAAGAAATCTCACCCTTCCTATGCTCTACCTGAAGAGAACACCCTATGCTGCTGCTACTGAGGAAGGGCAAAACATAAGACAGCAACTTTCTTCCAAGATATTTAGACATCACTTTTGATGTGTCCATTGTATTTACTTCTCTGTGATGAGAATTAAATTTTTGGGTTTTTTTTTTCCAGACGAAGTTTCACTCTTGTTGTCCAGGCTAGGGTGAAGTGGCTCAATCTCAGCTCACCTCAACCTCTGCCTCCCTGGTTCAAGCAATTTTCCTGCTTCAGCCTCCCAAGTAGCTGAGATTACAGGTGCCAGCCACCACACCCAGCTAATTTTTGTATTTTTGATAGAAATGAGGTTTCACCATGTTGGCCAAGCTGGCCTCAAACTCCTGACTCAGTTTATCTGACTGCCTTGGCCTCCCAAAGTGCTGGGATTACAGGTGTAAGCCACGGCACCCGGTCTGAGAATGAAGTATTTTAATGTTAGGTTCCTCTGGCCAGGATTACTCACATCTGTAATCCCAGCACTTGGGAAGCCAAGGCAGGTGGATCATGAGGTCAAAAGATTGAGACCATCCTGACCGACATGGTGAAACCCCGTCTCTACTAAAACATACAAAAATTAGCCGAACGTGGTGGTGTTCACTTGTAGTCCCAGCTACTTGAGTGGCTGAGGTGGAAGAATCACTTGAACTGGGAGGTGGAGGTTGCAGTGAGCCAAGATTGCGCCACTGTGCTCCAGCCTAATGTCAGAGTGAGACACCGTCTCCAAAAAAAAAAAAAAAAAAAAAAAAATTAGCTGGGCATGGTGACACATGCCTGTAGTCCCAGCTACTCGGGAGGTTGAGGCAGGAGAATTGATCGAACCTGGGAGGCAGAGGTTGCAGTGAGCCAAGATCAAGCCACTGCACTCCATCCTGGTGACAGAGCAAGACTCCACCTCAAAAAAATAAAAGAAAAAAATTACGTTTCTTCTTCAGAAAGGGCTAGGATTTTATTATTCCTCAAGTAAAATATTTGCTACAGGAATTACTAATTTGTCTTTAAAAAAACATTATTATAGAGTTGAACCAAAGATGTTCATTAATATTTTCAGACATGACTGTCAATAGAAAATAAGCCTAGGCCGGGCATGGTGACTCATGCCTGTAGTCCCAGCACTTTGGGAGGCCAGGGTGGGCGTATCATGAGGTCAGGAATTTGTGACCAGCCTGGCCAACATGGTGAAATCCCATAAAATTCTCTATAAAAATACAAAAAAAAAAAAAAAAATAGCCAGCTGTGGTGGCAGGCACCTGTAATTCCCACTACTTGGGAGGCTGAGGCAGGAGAATCACTTGAACCTGGGAGGCGGAGTTGTGGTGAGCTGAGACTGCGCCACTGCACTCCAGCCCAGCAACAAAGCAATACTCCATCTCAAAAAAAAAGAAAAGAAAAAGAAAGAAAATAAGCCTGTAGGCCAGGCATGGTGGCTCACGCCTGTAATCCTAGCACTTTGAGAGGCCAAGGCAGATTGATCACGTGAGGGCAGGAGTTCGAGACCAGCCTGACCAATATGGCGAAACTCTGTCTCTACTACAAAAATACAAAAATTAGTCGGGCATGGTGGCATGTACCTGTAGTCCCAGCTACTCAGGAGGCTGAGAAAAAAGAATCACTTGAACCTGGGAGGCAGAGGTTGTAGTTAGCCAAGATTGCACCATTGCACTCCAGCCTTGATGACAGAAAGAGACTCCATTTCAAAAAAAGGAAAAAAAAAAAAAAAAGAAAGTCTGTAACTTGCAAAAGCAAAATTAGAGTATGTATTCTTATAGGGAGGGATCTGAAATAACTCAAATACTATATATCACATGTATTAAAAAAAAACAGTGAAAAATGCAAAGGATTGGGCAAAAAGCACAACAGCAGATATCCTACATCTTCTTTCAGGTCTGAAACTAAGTTTTCCTAACCTAGGAATGTCAAAAGAGTAAATAAGGTGTATTTCCTGTCACTAACAAAACAAGACACATTTCATCTAGTATAGTATTAGAATCCCTCTGAAGAACTTGTGAAAAATACACATCTGGCCGGATGCAGTGGCTCAGACCTGTAGTCCCAGTACTTTGGGAGGCCGAGGCAGGCAAATCACTTGAGGTCAGGAGTTTGACACCAGCCTGGCCAACATGGTGAAACCCCAATTCTACTAAAAATACAAAAACATTAGCCAGGCACAGTGGTGTATGCCTGTAATCCCAGCTACAAAAACATTAGCCAGGCATGGTGGTGTATGCCTGTAATCCCCAGCTACTTGTGAGGCCAATGCAGGAGAATCACTTGATCCTAAGAGGCAGAGGTTGCAGTGAGATAAGATGGCACCACTGAACCCCAACCTGGGTGACAGAGCAAGATTACATCTCAAAAAGAGGGGAAAAAAAGGCAAGGCTCTGTCTCACAAAATAAAATAAAAAAGTCTAAAAAATTTGTAAAACAATTCTGTACATTGTTTTTGAATATACATAAATATGTACTAAGAGTAAAAACCATTCATGATAATGATAAACACCAAATTCAGGATGAAGCTTACTTCTAGGGAAGAAAGGCTAGAAACAGAAATATATATAAACAGGGCCAGGCAAGGAGGCTCACATCTGTAATCCTAGCACTTTGGAAGGCTAAAGAAGGAGTTTGAGACCAGCCTGCGCAATATAGGAAGACCCTGTCTCTACAAAAAATACAAAAATTAGCCAGGTATGGTGGTGTGCACCCTTAATAGTCCAAGCTACTGGGGTGGCAGAGATGGGAGGATCACTTGAGCCAGGGAGATGGAGGTTGCAGTGAGCTGAGATTGCGCCACTGTACTCCAGCCTGGATGTACATTTCATTTAAAAAAAAAAAAAAAGGTACAAAGGGGGTCTTCAATAGTTTCTAATATTTTGCTCTAAAAATAACAGACTTAAAGCAAATTAGGCAAAATATTAATATTTGACAAGTTGGGTAGTGGTCTACTTATGCTTTACTGTATGCTTAACATACTTTAGTTCTTCTGATTTAAATACTCATTTTAGAAAGTGCAGAAAGTTTAGAAAAGATCCACTACTCACAATTCTATCACTGAGAAGCAGATTTCCTCCTATTTTCTTCAAAATGAATTTTACATAATTGAGTTATATCACTTTATACTCCAAAAACATAACAAACTCAGATCCTCTTACCTTCATCGTATCAATGTGGATTTGACTCATTCGCTGGATATAACTAAGCAGCCTCTTCCTCTCCCACAAGGAACTAAAATGACAATAGGATAAGCAAGTCTATCATTATTTGCTTAATGATAATCCCTGCAGTATATGGTAGTACATAACCAACTTTAGATTACTTACACTAACAGAGAAGTTAGATTGGAAGGAACAATCAATAATTCAAACATACTCCTCCTCCAAAGTCTCTCCTTCCTTTGTTTCTAAGATAGGGCATTCTCCTGCTGAATTAATGTAGGCCTCCCCCAGGCTTCTGTCCCTGATTCTCTTCTCTCTTGGAAAATTTAAGACTTGACAACTCCACATCTCTTTCATGTCTACTCAATGCTCAAGCTGTACTTCATTTTAACCAAACTCAAGTCAACATCTACCCTCATAATCCTGGATTAATTTATGAGCACCAGGTATGACTCAAGCATGAATGAAATACATATGAAGGCTTTAACTTTATTTATATTCATTTTCCATTGTCAGTAATCCCTCATAATGCTCCAGTTTCAAGAAAATACGTAATGGGAATTAAATATGAACAGCTCAAAGTCTTGTGATTCATTATTCTACTTCATTTACAAATACTAGTTGGGCCCAGCATATCATTCGTCCCCCAACTGGGTGTCAACAGAGTGCAGGCAAAGGGTTTTACTGATCTACTAGCTAACCAGATTAAAAAAAAAGTGTCTTCTATAAATCATACATAGACTTGGAGTCAGAGGCACCACACTGGCCTCTATGGTGCACCCTGAGACCCATGGTAATAAGAACACCTAAGGATGATTTCTTGCGATGCATAGAAGCATTATTACAGCTCATAAACGGAAGCACCATATTTTGTGTTTTCCTATTCCCCTACCATCCTCATCAATTTGACATAACAAGCACAGCACAAATCAGGTTTTCAGAAGAACTTATAGTTGGACTCAGGTTAAAGGGAGTCACATAGTTGAGCACAACCAGAGTAATAGTATAAAATATCAAACCTAAACTAACCCATGACTACCTAGTATTTTCCTAAACTGACATTCAGTATTCATCACCTAAAGCCAAGAAATTGGGCTGGGTACAGTGGCTCATGCCTGTAATCCCAGCACTTTGGGAGGCCAAGGCAGGTGGATCACAAGGTCAGGAGTTCAACACTAGCCTGGCCAACAGGGTGAAACCCCACCATCTCTACCAAAAAAGCAAAAATTAGCTGGGCATGGTGGCAGGCACCTGTAGTTCCAGCTACTGGGGAGCCTGAGGCAGGAGAATCTCTTGAACCCAGGAGGCAGAGGTTGCAATGAGCAGAGATTGTACTGCTGCACTCCAGCCTGAGTGACAGAGCAAGACTCCATCTCAAAAAGAAAAAACAAACAAACAAAAAACTCAAAAATCACTGATTAGAGTATATAAAAATAACCACCCAAAACCTGGGGGTTGTTTTGTTTAGCCAGATACATGGCATTAAAAAAGATTTAAAGTAGTCATGGGCCAGGATACTTAGACTATAAAAGAAATTTATTCCTGTGTTCCAACATTTCTGAAATTTAATGCTTCTTACAATTGACATGTACATTTAATGTGACAATGTTTCTTACTTCTTAAAAAAACCTTTATAAATCAATGGTTGCTCATAAAATTGAGGGCCTAATTAGGAGTGCTTGTCTAAGCTGGATTCTCCCTAGAAAGCAGAGTCCGGGATAAGAGCTTGCAAGTAATTAATCTTGGGGTGTGAACCCTGGGCACGGGGGTTGGGGGGTCTAGGAAGGGTAAAATAGAAAATTAGATAAAAACAGTGCAAAGGTCCATTAACAAGTTACATTGGTATTACTGTGAGCAATTGAATGGAGTGGTGAGTAGGGCTGATCCCACTGGCAACCTGTAAGGCACCACTATCCTGTAGAACTTTCTGCAATGATGGAAATGTTCTGTATCTGCTCTGTCCAACACAGTATCCACTAGCCATAGTGATTACTGAGTACTTAAAATATGACTAGTGTAACTGAGGATTTTTTAAATTTCATTTACTTCAAATTAATTTAAACATGAAGCTAGTTGTTAGCATATAGAACAATATAGCTCTAAGGAGTCCTACGGAATTTGAGTTATGAGGTGGGGCACAGAGATGTGCAATATAGTGGTCTTTCTGGAATTTTGTCTGTTTTGTTCACTCATGTGCCCCAAGTTCATGGAAGAATGCCTAGTACAGTGAGCCTTCTAAAAATACTGACTGAATGAATCAATAGTACTTGGGTCCACAAAGATGCACATGGCCTCCTTGAAAAGAAAGACTATATTGGAAAAAATTCCATTCAGTTCAAATAGTAAGCAACTATTATATACAAGAAACAAGTAATAAGGGGGACTTTGAGAGGACTGAGAGTGTTGAGATGTGGTTATCAAAGAGCCATGCTGGGCACAGTGACTCATGCCTGTAATCCCAAAACTTTGGGAGGCCAAGGCAGGAAGATCATGAGGTCAGGAGTTTGAGACCAGCCTGGCCAACATAGTGAAACACCGTCTCTACTAAAAATACAAAAATTAGCCAGGCATGGTGGCACACGCCTATAGTCCCAGCTACTTGGGAGGCTGAAGCAGGAGAATCACTTGATCCTGAGAGGTGGAGGTTACAGCAAGCCAAGATCATGCGACTGCACTCCAGCCTGAGTGGCAAGATTCCATCTCAAAAAAAAAAAAAAAGGCTAGGCACAGTGGCTCAAGCCTATAATCCCAGCACTTTGGGAGGCCAAGGCGGGTGGATCACGAGGTCAAGAGATCAAGACCATCCTGGTCAACAAGGCGAAACCCCATCTCTACTAAAAATACAAAAATTAGCTGGGCATGGTGGCGCGTGCCTGTAATCCCAGCTACTAGGGAGGCTGAGGCAGGAGAATTGCTTGAACCCAGGAGGTGGAGGCTGCAGTGAGCCGAGATCGCGCCAAAAAAAAAAAAAAAGAGCCAACATAAGGTTCCTGGAGATTCTAATCCAAAGGATATTTACTGAAAGTCAGTTAAGGTTATGTGTTCTTTTTTTTTTTTTTTCCACCAGAGGCCCACTGAATTCCTAGAGGAAAGGTTATGTGTTCTATAGTAATCCTGTTTCACAATCTACTTCCGGTATCCATTACTAAATACCACTAAGTGAAGTAATTTAGTATAATTCTTTGTTTTGATTCTTGGTTACTGTTACCACAAACAACATGTAACTAAGTGAAATTTCAGAAGAGAAGACCATACTTCTGTTGCCAATTCTCTAATAGAAACAAAATCTTCACTTTAAGAAGTATTTAAACACCAGATCCTCAACTGAGCTCTTTAAAGGAGCCCCACTCTAATCTAACTAGAACTTTCAGCCATACATAGAGATGGATCTATGTAACTACATATATATATATACGTATGTACCTACCTACCTACCTACCTACCTACTTACCTATCTGAACAGGATCTTGCTCTGCTGCCCAGGCTGGAGTCTAGGAGCTCATCATAGATCGCTGCAACCTTGAACTCCTGGGCTCAAGAGATCTTCCTGGTTAAGCCTCCTGAGTAGGCGGGACTATAGGTATATGCACAGTGCTCGGCTAATTTTTTAATTTTCTGTCGAGATGGGAGTCTCACTTTGTCACTACCTATAAAATTTACTAAGGGCTAATCATATGTTTCAATACACTTTATGTACATCATCTCATTATTATCCATTTTACAGGTACAGAAATTGAAGGGTTAAATAACTTGTCCCAAATTATACAACTAAAAAGTGCCTGTTTTGCATAGTGTCTTTAAATCTAATACCAGAGCGTATTATAATCTTTAGGAAGACCTAGAAATATGCTCAAGATAGGGTTGTTGCCTTGATTTTCTTACCAACATTTTTTTCCCTGTTGGTTCTTACATATTTCCCAGTGTATATAATTCATTTATTCTAAACTTGAGAGTAAAAAGTCAGTCATTAGAAACTTGATGAAGGTTTATCTGCAAAATTATTATTATTATTATTTCTTTCTTTTTTTGAGACAGAGTTTTGTTCTCATTGCCCAGGCTGAAGTGCAATTGCGCAATCTCAGCTCACCATGACCTCCACCTCCCAAGTTCAAGTGATTCTCCTGCCTCAGCCTCCAGAGTAGCTGGGATTATAGGCACTGTGCCACCATGCCCAGCTGACTGTATGTTTTTAGTAGAAACAGGGTTTCTTCATATTGATCAGGCGGTTTCAAACTTCCAACCTCAGTTGATCTGCCCATGTTGGCCTCCCAAAGTGCTGGGATTAAAGGTGTGACCAACCATGCCCAGCATGCAAAATTATTTAAAATAGGAATAAGGCCAGGCACGGTGGCTCACGCCTGTAATCCCAGAACTTTCGGAGGCAGAGGCAGGCAAATCACCTGAGGTAAGGAGTTTGAGACCAGCCTGATCAACATGGTGAAACCCCATCTCTACTAAAAATATAAAACTTAGCCAGGTGTGGTGGCAGGCACCTGTAGTCCCAGCTTCTTGGGAGGCTGAGGCGGGAGAATCACTTGAACCCAGGAGGTTGCAGTCAGCCAAGATTGCACCATTACACTCCAGTCCGGGTGACAGAGTGAGACTCTGTCTCAAAAATAAATAAATAAATAAAATAAAATAAAATAGGAATAAACAGTAATAGTAAACACAGGATTTGTACAGTGAAAATAAACAGCAGGTGGCCAGGTGCAGTGGCTCACACCTGTAATCCCAGCACTTTGGAAAGCTGAGGCAGGTGGATCACTTGAGGCCAGGAGTTCAAGACCAGCCTAACCAACATAGTGAAACCCCATCTCTACTAAAAGTACGAAAATTAGTGGGGCATGTTGGTGGGCATCTGTAGTCCCAGCTACTCAGGAGGTTGAGACAGGAGAATCACTTGAACCCGGGAGGTGGAGATTGCAGTGAGTGGAGATCCTCCAGCCTGGGTGACATAAGAGACTGTCTCAAACAAACAAACAAATTTAAACAAACAAACAAAAGAAAAACAGCAGGCAAGGGATTCTGCTGTTTTTAAAACACTTAATAGATTCAAAATGAGGAGAGTTTATAACAGAGATTTTGGGCTTTGTCCCTCAAAGTTGGATAAAATGTGTTTGATTACAATGTGAATTTATTTCTTCATTCTTACCTTACTCCAAGATTTTCAAAATGAGACTCATCAAGACAGGGCAGTAATGAGCCTGTGATTTTATTTTCTGTGGAAGAAAAAAGACAAATTCAATATGTACTGTTAGAGATGAGCTGTGCTCTCAGAAAACTCCTCCATACAGGCTGACCCCTTCCCCTCTTCTAATTGCTCTTCAGCTGCACTCCTGAACCCTTACCTAGGCGCCACACCAAGGCTGCCAGACATGTGGCAATTAAGCAAAGCCTGATTACAGCCATCTGGGCAGCTCAAGGGAGGACAGGGAAAACATATGTTGGTTATCCTTACTCGTAAATTCCTGTTTGACACGTATCTGTAAAAAATCCCGGTTTCTGTCTTTTTTTAAAGACTGCCCCCACGAGTCACAGGATGATGTATTGTAGGTCTCTTACAAGTTAACAAACTATCTCTGTGCCTGTTACCAATGAATAGATTATGCCCCTCTCACCCTATATAAACCCCTGGTTTTGTAAGCTCAGGGGTACCTCCTCTGACTGTTACAGAGCAGCCCAGCAAGTTAATAAAACTTTCTTGCCTGACTTTGGGTCTATTCTCTTTTCTCTCGGCTACCCTTACATATACAACATATGTTTTTCACTTTCTTTCAATTTGGATGCACCAAAATTTACCCAGATCCACATTTATTGAGCACCCACTACAGGCAACAGACTGTGCCAAGTACCATTTTGTTGATTTGCTACTTGTAAAGACTCAATTTTAATTAAATAACTAAACCAAGAAGCATTTTTCTGATAAATCACGTGAAAAATTTCAAAATTATTTGTGTAAATTAGTTGCAAGAAAAACCAGTTGCAAAAAGTGAAGTGAAACCCGAGTCCCTGTTGGGGTTTTGCCAAGTTAGGAGCTCCCTTTTAAACAAGAAAGGTTTGGGTAGCAGTAGGCAAAGAAACTTAAAAGTCTATTGTTTTTAGAAGTAACAATTAAAACAATATCTTCACGAGTGCTTAAAGTGTTGATTTCTCTTAAACTTCCTCGGAAAGCACTCAATACTCTGATTTGAAAGAATCTTATCTCTCTCTCTCTCTCCCTCTCTCCATATATATATATCTCCATATATATATATATATATATATATATCTCCATATATATATATATATATATCTCCATATATATATATATATCTCCATATATATATATATATATATGGAGATATATATATATATATATATATGTTGTTGGTTTTTTTCCTCTTTTTATACAATTCATTCTAATATTTCCTGACCTCCGATTCCAAAACTCTGGACTGCTTTATTTTATTGTATTTTCTTTGAGACGGCGTCTTGCTTTTTGCCCAGGTTGGAGTACAATGGTGCGATCACAGCTCACTTACAGCCCTGACCTCCTGGGTTCAAGTGATCCTCCTGCCTTAGCCTCCCCAGTAGCTGGTACCACAGGCATATGCCACTACACCTAGCTGATTTTTTATTTTAATTTTTTTGTAAATATGGGGTCTCCCAATGTTGCCCAGGCTGGTCTTGAACTCCTGGGCTCAAGTGATCTTCCCACACTGGCCTCCCAAAGTGCTGGGATTGTAGGCATCAGCCACTGGGCATGGCCTCCAATGGTTTTTTATGAGAACACTTGTTAAGGTATAGCTCACATGAGTTCTGAAGTCAAAGACCTAACCTTTAAAAATCTAGCTCCTTTTTGTAGTGGTATAATCTTTGAAAAGTTACTTTACATCTTTGGACCTCATATACACCATCTGTAAAACATATAGAGTATAGCAACTTATTTCAGACTTCTTGTGAGGCTATTATATTCCACAATGAAAAAAGGGACATACTACCTTGTTCTTGGCTTGTCAAATAAAAACAAATTTGGACTGAGATAAAGAGAGACTTTTTCTTTTTTGAGATGAAATCTCACTCTGTCGCCCAGGCTGGAGTATAGTGACGCAGTCTCTGCTCACTGCAACCTCCGCCTCCCAGGTTGAAACAATTCTGCCTGAGCCTCCTGAGTGGCTGGGATTACAGGCACGTGCCACCACGCCTGGCTAGTTTTTGTATTTTCAGTAGAGATGAGGTTTCACCATGTTGGCCAGGTTAGTCTCAAACTCCTGACCTCATGATATGCCTGCTTTAGCCTCCCAAAGTGTTGGGATTACAAGTGTGAGCCACTGCACCCAGTCCTTTTTTTTTTGAGACGAGTCTCACTCTGTCACCCAGGCTGGAGTCCAATGGTATGATCTTGCCTCACTGCAGCTTCTGCCTCCTGGCTTCAAGCGATTCTTATGCCTCAGCCTCCTGAATAGCTAGGATTACCGGCGCCCACCACCATGCCTGGCTAATTTTTGTATTTTTAGTAGAGATAGGGTTTCATCATGTTGGCCAGGCTGGTCTTGAACTCCTAACCTCAGGTGATATCCACCCACCTTGGCCTCCCAAAGTGCTGGGATTATAGGCATGAGCCACTGTACCTGGCCAAGAAAAACTTATTAGAAAGAAAGACTATTGCTATAAGGAGAAAGCTCCAATATCAGATATCTGCAAGAGGCTCAAGAATCAAACAGAGGCCCAGCCAGGCATGGTGGCTCCCACCTGTAATCCCAGCACTTTGGGAGGCTGAGGCAGGTGGATCACTTGAGGTCAGGAGTTTGAGCCCAGCCTGGCCAACATGGTGACACTCTGTCTCTACTAAAAATACAAAAATTAGGTGCAGTGGATGCGCCTATAAGCCCAGCTTCTTGGGAGGCTGAGGCAGGAGAACCACTTGAACCCAGAAGGCGGAGGTTGTGGTGAGCCAAGAATGAACCACTGCACTCCAGCCTGGGTGACAGAGCAAGACTCCATCTTAAAAATAAATAAATCAAAATAAAATGACAATTAAAAAAAAAAAAGAATCAAACAGAGGCCCAAGAACCAAACAGAGGTTCGGTGCAGTGGCTCAAACCCGTAATTCCAGCACTTTGGGAGGCCAAGGCAAGCACAGGATCACTTGAGGCCAGGGAGTTTCAGACCACAATGGCCAACACGGCAAAACCCTTTCTCTAATTAAAAAAAAAAAAACATCCAACAGAAAAAGGGTCTTCTTTTATAGGGTAAAGGATGAGCAAGCAGAAATAAGCAGAATCTTTGGAAGGGAACCTGGATGAGCAATAGAAAATGACCAGTGCAGTCCAACAGGGCAGCATCCCACTGTGGTCAGCCAATTCTCAAAAGAAGCTGACCAGAGACAGGCATATTCCACTTCTTCAGTGCCTGCCTACTCAGATCTGGGGGTAAGCAAGAGTTGAGGGACCCGTAAGGCAAGAGAGAAGTCTAAATAAAGTTTGGTCAAGACAAAGCAGCATGTAAGACATGAGCAACTGGGAACAGTTGGTCAGTTTTTACCAAATGAAAGCACATAGTGTCTTTGATAGTACTAAGTTGTGGGTTCAAGAGAACACACATCATTCTGGATAGTACAGAGTTCATCTATAAAACACCACTGAGGACCGGGCGCGGTGGCTCAGGCCTGTAATTCCAGCACTTTGGGAGGCCGAAGCGGGTGGATCACGAGGTCAAGAGATCGAGACCATCCTGGTCAACATGGTGAAACCCCGTCTCTACTAAAAATACAAAAAATTAGCTGGGCATGGTGGCGCGTGCCTGTAATCTCAGCTACTCAGGAGGCTGAGGCAGGAGAATTGCCTGAACCCAGGAGGTGGAGGTTGCGGTGAGTTGAGATCGGGCCATTGCACTCCAGCCTGGGTAACAAGAGCGAAATTCCGTCTCAAAAAAAAAAAAAAAAAACAAAACACCACTGAAACAGCCAACCACATTTTGAGACAGAAAATATGGAACTACTTCACTCCACTTGTTGCTAGTAAAAGAAAGAATAATAATAATCCATCTCAGCAGTGGACAAAAGGGGAAAATAAAAAAGAGAAATGCAATTTCCCACACCCATTCAAGCTATCTTTGGGTCCTGAACCACTAATGTTCCTCCTACCCAAGTTTCCAAGCTAGGCAAACAGGGCTCCACCTAACAAATGCAAAAGTTTGCTAAATTTACAAATCCCAACCACCAAAGAACCACCTTCCTATTGAACACCTAGTGGAAATACGGCAGGAATGAAGTCTCACACCACGAAAAGTTGAGTAGACTTCACACGGATGGATGCTTGGACACGAATCATCCATTTTACTGTTTAAAGCAGTAAAATCTGCTTTAAACTCAACCGAAACACTTCTACCAGTAATGTGGCCAAAATCTTGCATGCTAGAGGTTCAGTGGTCAACGAAACAACCTCGGTGTTCAGACTGTGGAGAGAAACCTGCTTTTAAAGAGCAAAACATGATCCTTACCATGTTCTGCAAGTGCCGTCAACACACTTATCCGGCGCTACTGAGACGCTAAGGGAGGCGATGGGAATTCAGAGATTAACCAAACCAGTTCCTTCCCTTTCAGGAAAAGCCTCAATTCAGGGAGGAAACAGAAACTTAAAAGCCCCAGAACATTCTCTCATGTGGCAAGTGTTCAAGCAGCTGCGGTTAGCGCAGAGCGGTCCCCCGAGCCTGGCGAGCCTGGATGACAGCAAGCCGCCCACCAAGGTCTGGGGAAAAATCTCCTTCTAACTAAAAAAAAAAAAAAAAGACCCGAGTCTTGCCTGTCTGGCGCCGGGCTGGCAAGTCACTGAACAAACCCACCAAAGTCAGATCCCAATCTACGACCGCCTCTCCCAGGTCCTCAGTCGCGGGAGCCTGCTCCCATCCTCTGGATCGCCTACCCCAGGCGCCCCCGTGTCTCCTTCCTCCGCCTCGCGGAGTCGGTCCCGTGCGCCCCCGCCGCAGGTCCGCCCTCCTGGGAGCCCCCCGCTGCAGGGCTCCCTTCCCCCTCGCCGGGTCTTCCCTCCCTCCCTCGGCGCCGCCAGCCGCAGGTCAGCCCTCCCGGGTGCCTCCCGCCGCAGGGCTCGCTCCTCGGCCTGAGTCCTCTCGTGGGGCCCCCTTCCTCAGGGCGCCTGGCCCGCGCCCCGGGTCGCCGCCCCTCGCCCCTCAGCCCCTCCGGCGCCGCTACCTCGGATGTTCTTCAACAGCCCCGGCTCTTTGAAGCCACCGCGCCTGAGGAAGGAGCACACCTGCTCCGGGCCCCACGTCTTGTGGTCAGGATGGAGTTCCGGACCCAAGGACCGGTCTGCCTCTGCGGAAGGGGTGTTTGGGGGGGTTCTCGGGCTGTCATCGCAACGGGGCCGCTTGGAGGGCTGCTCGGAGTCGGCTTGCTGCATGTCTACACTCGGAGTCCGGCACAGCAAAGTCAAGAACCGCGGCGCCCAGCCCGCGCGCAGGCGCACTGACAGCAGGGCCCTGGCGGGGCGTCCAGGGAGCATCGGCAACATACTGGCCCCTCGCGCAGGCGCACTGACAGCAGGGCCCTAGCGGGGCGTCCAGGGAGCATTGGCTACCTACTGGCCTCCCGCGCAGGCGCACTGACAGTTGAGCCCTTCGGGCAGAGCAGCCCAGCGGCGCTAGCCCCGGACCCCCTGCGCAGGCGCATTGGCAGTCCAGCCGTCTTCAATCCCGCCAGGCCGCTGGACGTGAACGCGGAAGGGCGTGGCTAGAAGCAGAACTGAGGACAACGCTGGGGGAGGGTGGGGAAATTGCGCCTCCAGCACCCTACCCCCGTTAGGGGCTCGTCTGGTGAATTGGGGGTATCCTCCTTCGAATGAGTACACTACCCCCCGCACCTTAGCCGGGTTTCAGATGCCCCAAACTTAAAAGAAACCTAAAAGGCCAACAGGCTGCCAGCACCTTCCCAGTGAAGAGAAAAACAGTCAAGATGCTGAACTGAAGACCCCGGAATGATTTCACGTGTGACTTGAGGGTGTCTTCTTCATTCCACAGTATTGCTGGGCAACTAGAGGGCCCTGGGATACCTGTTGTCTCGTGTTCACACAGGAGGGGACTTCAGACTTCTTTCCAACTGGAGACAGATCCCTCCATCCTAACTGCATTCCCAGAAGAAGGGAAGTGGCCAGTTTGATTACTTAAAATTTAACATCCGAGGACTTTTACTGCCTGGTCCTAAGAGCAGGTGAAAATGGCAGGCATTTTCCTGTCACTTAGCCCCTCTGCGGCAGAGTTCAAACTTCCCTATAAATACTGGTCCATGCAATTGACTGGTAAAAGGACCTATCACTATTACTGCTAATAAAGCCAACACACCTTCCCAGCAACCAAGCAATAGACCTGTTTAGGGGGTAAAGGACGAATGAGGCATATTAGCTTATCATCAAGCAGTATGAACTATTGATCTATCTATTGGTGAGCCAAAATATTGTTAGCAAACACAGTTTTACTGTGTGCCAGGCACGGTTCTAGGGCTTTACAAATACTAAATTATTTTATATTTATACATATTACTTAATGAATTAAATAAATTAAGTAATTATTTAACTAGTAAATAATTTTATAACTTCTAAGGGTTTTACAAATATTACTTCATTTAATTATCACAATTACCTTAGGATGTAGGAAAAAGTAATTTGCCTAAGGTCTTTTTTTGAGTCAGAGTCTTGCTCCGTCCCCCAGGCTGGAGTGCAGTGGCACAATCTTGGCTCACTGCAACCTCTGCCTCCCGGGTTCAAATATTCTCATGCCTCAGACTCCTGAGTAGCTGGAACTACAGGTGCATGCCACCAAATCTGGCTAATTTTTGCATTGTTAGTAGAGACAGGATTTCACCATGTTGGCCAGGCTGGTCTTGAACTCCTAACCTCAGGATATCCCCACGCTCAGCCTCCCAAAGTGCCGGGATTACACAGCTGAGCCCAGCTGCCCAAGGTCTTACAGCTAGGAAATGATGAAGCCTGTATTCAAACCCAGATGTAACCTGGCTCCAAAGTCCATGCTGTTGCTGACTTGCCAGCCATTGCTTGTTAAAGGGGGTTTGGGGCTGGGTGCAGTAGCTCATGCCTGTAATCCCAGCACTTTGGGGGGCCAAGGCAGGTGGATCACTTGAAGTTGGGAGTTTGAGACCAACTTGGCCGACATGGTGAAACCCTGTGTCTACCGAAATACAAAAATTAACTGGGTGTGGTGGCAGCAGACCCATGGGGGAAAGTATAAAGAGGTGTTCTGGCCTGGCTCATGCCTCTAATCCCAGCACTTTGGGAGGCTGAGGTGGGTCGATCATCTGAGGTCAGGAGTTCAAGACCAGCCTGGCTAACATGGTGAAACCCTATCTCTACTAAAAACACAAAAATTAGCTGGGCATGGTGGCACATGCCTGTAATCCCAGCTACTCGGGAGGCTGAGGCAGGAGAAGCAGTTGAACCTGGGAAGCGGAGGTTGCAGTGAGCTGAGATCATGTTTGTTCAAAGCAATTGCTTTTAAGAACTTTTTTAAAAATTTCATTTTATGTAATTTTATTTATTTATTTATTTCTACCCCAGCCCACATGAAGATGTTTTTATTCAATACAAACAATAACAGAGGCAACACACTGGCCACAAAATAAGAACATAAGTGCACTTGAATTTTTTGTGAGTTCTGGCTAGGCTTTGACAAGAAAGACTATCATTCTTTTCTTACCAGGTAAACAGAAATCATCGGCTAATGGCAGAAACTTTAAAGCTCTTAATTCAGCTGGAAATAACTATAACTGAGGGCCTTTTTACTAGCTATTTGCTTCCCAATTTAGTGTTGTCTAGTAGGTTAATTTAAACATAACAAAAGGTATCATCTGGCTGGCCACATCATGCACTGGTGTACTGGGCAGGTTTAATGAGTTTTGTGCTCAGATTGCTGGGTCTCTTGGCTGTTCTTGTCCATCTCTGCACCTTGGTCCTGAGCGTTCTGAGACTCAGTCATCTGAGGATAAAAGGGACCTACCACCCAGTTGAGGGGCGTGTTGTTAACAAAATAATCCATCACATCATCTAAAGATTCCTTCATTTTCTACAGCTGCCCCTTGCTAGAAGTGAGGAGGCTGTCAGACACTTCCTTAAAGGAGGCAGCATTGTGGAGCACTGAGTAGATGTCGCCGGCCATCACCCCTATGTGTTTGGCCTGATCTTGGATGCTCTGTGGTAAGCCTTGGATGTTGGACAGGAGGGTGTGGCACGTGGTCTGAAGCTGCTGAGTCAGGTTGTGGGCAATAGCAAGAGTACATGACCTGACGATGTGCCCAGCACAGTGGGACTCATCAGTATCATCATATCCAATGCTCCTTCTCCACTCCACCCATGAGAGGTAGAGTTCATCCTGAGCGTCCTGAATTTTCTGATTGGCACTATGCACATTCTTCCTGGCAGATTCAATCAGGTGAACAGTAGAATGGAGCTGAGAAATGGTCTCTTGGCTTTTTTGCTTAGCTTCTTTAACCCTGCTGAGAGCGTGCTAGTAGGTGCGGGAGCGAAGCTTGGTAGACAGGGATCCCAGTCTAACATAATAACTTGGCTTCTGAACCATATCAAATCCTTCAAGTTTTTTTGCTTCTTTTCCTAGCTCTTCTTTGTGAGAGGGAGGTACTGTTCTACCAACAGCTCTGATTTGGTGAGTGCATTTTCTACACCACTGCTCACGAGCTGCATCATCCAACTCCCCAAGACTGTTAATGCTGCCACTGACCACAGACTTGGTCTTCTCCACACTGCCAGTCACTGCCCTTTTGGTCTTGTCCATCACCCTTGTGATTGTGCTGGCCACGGAATCCTTGGTCCCAGTCCTAGTAGTTGTCACAGCATCTTTTGGCCCAGTCACAGCACCTTTGGCATTGGCAACAACCTGAGTTGATGGCTGATTCAGAATAGGCAGTCTCTCCTCCATCCTGTCTAGGCCCTTACAGGCATAGGTATTGGCAATTGCAATTTGTGGCTCTAGCTTCTGGATGATGGGCAGATCACTGGTCAGGGCCACAGAGGTGATGGTCTTCACACCCTTCTCTGCCATCTCACACACAGACTTCAAGTAGGGATACTGGTCCTTTGTATTGACATAGGCTGAGGACATGAGGTCATATGTGGAGCTCACCAACGGCAGGTTGACCACCCGAGTCATGACACTGGGTTGTGGATCAACTGCAAAGGATGCCATTTTTCTTTATGGAGAGAGAAATTGTCGGAAGGCAGTGAAGGGCAAAGAGCAGGCGTGTCCTGAAGGCAATTCCAGCAGCCACGACCCGGGAAAAACCTATTTATTTATTTTTTTGAGATGGAGTATCGCTCTGTCTCCCAGGCTGGAGTGCAGTGGTGCAATCTCAGCTCACTGTAACCTCTGCCTCCCAGGTTCAAGTAATTCTCCTGCTTCAGCCTCCCAAGTAGCTGAGATTACAGATGCATGCCACCATGCCCAGCTAATTTTTGTATTTTTAGTAGAGACAGGGTTTCACCATGTTGGTCTCGAACTCCTGACCTCAGGTGATCCGCCCACCTCAGCCTCCCAAAGTGCTGAGATTACAGGCGTGACCCACCCATGCCTGGCCTAAGCCACTGCGCCCAGCCAGCGAGTCTTATTCCAACATAAATTTGCTTGAGATCCCCCACATTACAACAAAAGGGGAACTTGCCATCCTAAAACCATTAGGAGAGCTATGAAGAAGCAGTCACTATGGAAAGACCTTAGGTTTTTGATGAGAATATTCAGCCATTTGATCAACCAACCAAAAAGTCCACCCTATCTTTGTACTTCTGAGGCAGGAAAATACAGTCTGAAGGCAGAAAACATAAGGCTGATTCACACTTCAGCTAAGACAGGAAATATCTAACGTCAAGTAAAAGACTTTGTAAATTACTTCATCCTCTTCATTTACATAGGGCATACACCAAGTGACTAATGGAAACCCCTAGAGAGTATTTAAACCCCCACACATTCTGTAACGGGGCCCTTAATCCCCTATGCTCGGGCCACTCCCACACTGTGGCGTGTACTTTCATTTTCAATAAATCTCTTCATTCCTTCCTCGCTTTGTTTTTGTGTTTTGTACAATTCTTTGTTCGAGACGCCAAGAGCCCGGACACCCTCCACCAGTAACACTTCCAACTACATGAGCCAGTAGAATTTCCTTCATTTTGAAGCCAGCATAAGTTGATTTTTCTCTTGTGTGTGTATGTTGAATTTTTAGATTTTTTTTTCTCCTTTGTAACTGACAGCATCCCTGAAACACCTTGCAACTGCAACACCTGACACTCAGCTCCAGGCACCCAGTGTTATCCGGCTGGTTTTCCTCTTGTAGTGACACTTGTATGCAGGCCAGTTTACTCCAGTTCCTCATCATCTCATGTCCTACTGTCTCTAGTGAACAGCACTGTCCATCAGAGAAGCTCACAAAGATCCTTTCCTCTGAGAAATTTCTCATTGCTCCCTGAGGGGAACCACAGAATTATGGACTGAATTGTGGCCAACCTGTCCCCTGCATTCGCATTCTGAAGCCCCAAACCTCAATGTCACTATATTTGGAGACAGGGCCTGTAAGGAGGTAATTCAGGTTAAATGAGACCAATAGGGTAGGATTCTGGTAAGAGCAGTGTCCTTATAAGATGAACAGACACCAGAGATCTTTCTTTTCCTGCTCACTCACCAAAGA